TTCAGGGTTTTGGGGGGTCTGGAGATTGTCTGGTTTCCGCCTTATGCAACAATCTACTGCCTGTGGGCTGATTTTCGTAGGTGCCGCTTAGCAACGTAGTTTCGGGTATCTTCGGGATTGGCTGCTAACTTAGAACCCCAGAGGCCTCAACCCTAAACCCCTAAACCGTGCCTCAACCCTTAAACCGTAAAGTCTTAGACACCTAAAGCCCAGGTCCCAGGCCCTGTCGGTAAGGGTTTAGGGTTTAGGGAGTTCAGGGTATTGGGGGCAGTGGCGATGGATCGGTTAACCGAGTTGCTCTGCAACTTTGTGATTGTCATTCGCTTTGCTTATTGAGAGGGGCTTATAGGGGCTTTAAGGGCCAGCCCATACCCTCTAAGGCAGTTCCCGGTTTGTTTTCCTAGTAGTAGAGTCGGTAACCTTTAACCTTTTTGGGGTAGTATAATCCCTATATAATCCCTATATAGCCCAAAACAGGTTAACCTCTAGTTCCCCATGATACCCGGCAAGTTTGTTTTCGAGTCGGGGGGGTACCTCACAGCTTGTGAAGATGAAGCGAAACCGCAGTAGCCAGTCTCCAGAAGCCTTGTCCTTGACCCCACTTGGAGGTTCATGGGTAGTTAGTTATAGGGCTATATGTAGGGTAACTATATACTTATTTATAACCCATTTTAGGGGACTTATAACCCTACTTATGACTACCCATGAACCTCCTAGCAGAGCTCTAGGGCAAGGAGAGGGCGCGGGGCGTTGGCAAAAGCCAAGGCAAACGTCTCGAGCAGCTGCTCTCGGTGAGTTTCGACGACCTGCAACGCTTGCATGAGAGGTTTGAGCCCGAGGATGCAGTGGATCTGTGCTAGGCCGGGACTGACCAGTTCTGATTTTTGAATCTTCGAACCCTGAACAGTGCGCCCGAGACTGAGCAGATAGCTGACTACTATTAGGGGCCTTAGAATTGCCTATACTATGGTTTCCTTATTATAATTATGGTATAACGGGCCCCCAAAACCTATTCACATTTACTAAGGCCCCTATATTATAATCCTGTGCGGAGGGGCTGGGTTGTCCTGTTCAGGATGCTTTTAGCATGGAGATTTATGGGAGTTTTCGAAAATTCGGGGTTTTGGGGATCCGTACAATAAGGATCCTACTATGTAGGGTTCTATATTAGGGTCCCCTATTTTCGGAAACTCCCTTATGCTGTTGAGCTCTGGGTAGTCTGCGACGAAGACTTCACCAAGAGCCACACAATCAAGCAAACTGCAGAATTGTCTCTTGCCTTCTCATGTTGAAGGGATCGGCAAGCGGCACGGCATGACCTTTTTTTAATCCGTGATTTGATGCCATCCATGACTGCTCCGACGTGTGCAACACCGGAGATCTGTTCCCTCAGCTGGGCCAGTGTAATGGTTTCATTGGGTGTAGAGGATCTTATTTCCTGAACCTTAATAACATAAACCCTAATCCCTTTATTGTTCAGAGGTTTTTATTGTTCAGAGGTTTTGGACGGCCAGCCTTGGATCAGTGCTTTTTTTAACGCTTTATACCATTTGTGACTTGTGACTCCAGTGACAAGTAATTCAACCGGAATTCAACTGCAACTGCAACTTTATATGGTGGAAACGCCGCCCAGCATGGCGTAACGCCGCAGCCCGACAGCCATAAGCTTTGTTTAGGCTTTTACCGCACTGAAGTGATGATTTTGTTTCCAGTAGGCCGGCCATAATTCTTTGACTTGTCGGTTTCACTAGCCGGTAAACTAGTCAGCATCGGAAATTTTTGACAGTGACAGCAGTTTTGATTGAGCACATGTACAATATCTTGCGTGTGCTGCATGAAGCATTTCCGATACGTTGGTTACCCTTCGTCTCTTCCATGTGCTCTGTCGGACCAGTTTTCATCCTGTGCCGGAGCCTTTGAAGAAGGCTCTTGTCAGCTGTCGGGTTGATGGGTATGGGCAAAAACAGCAACTTACTCTTGCGGAACGCTTCGGAAGCACGAGAAGCCTCTCTGAAACGATTGTCAGAGATAGCGCCGTTGACGTGAATGTGAGTCTCACATGTCGCGGCCTTATCGTGGAGTCGTACGTGATGCTTTGCTTTGCACTTTGTTCAGGCTGGCGTCGGCAATTTCGAAGCATCCTGCATCAATTTAATTTATTTTGTTTATATGATTTAAACAACAGCCGCGGCCTTCACTCCATCGATGGAAAGCTAGATAGCACCGTCAGCACCCTTTAACAGACCTCCAAATGCTGTATCCTAAAGCCTGAGACCCTAATATACCCTAACACAATCAATCCTGAACAAGCCCGAATTTGGCCTGAAGCCGGAAAGGGCAAAATCCCCCAAAACACCTTTGGAGATGTGCCGCGATTCTGCATCTACACTCTCCATTGTAGTTCCTTATGGTTTCTAGTTACATGGACGATGTGTTATACGTCCGAGCGATAGGGCAGTCTAGCAAGAAGGAAAACTGCATGGGAGTGTAGATAATTCGTCCGCTGGTCAGTCTGCCATGCAGCTCACTCACTTGTGCCACAGGCCTTACCATGTGGATTGCGGTTTGGGTCTGAGTTGTTCGCGTGGGTCTCATCAACCTTGCCCCGCCGGAAATGCTCCAACTTATTGCAGTAAAAGTATGTGTGACTCTTGTGTTGTATCGGTGCCTTTCAGTCATTTTCGTCTAACGACGGAGGGCTCGAACATAGAGGTCGGAATACTTAGTTGGCGGCGTTCCGTTGCAATCCCACACATCTGTACTGCAAGATATTTCCCAGACCATATCTCTTCGTTAAGGCCTCTATATATCAGGCAGCCTTCGATGTCTGTGGCCCAAGGGGTTGGGCTTGAACCAGTGCTTCTGCGCACAGTCTGTGGACGGCAAACCAAAGATGAGCAAAAAAGTCAATCCGAGATGTCTCTATCACGAAATATCGGGTTCCCTTCGCTTCGGATCAGGATTCCGGCCCCGCAAAACAGATCCTGCCCATAGTCTCCATTGTAGTTCTTTGTTTGGGTAACCAAAAACCTCTAGTATGGCATCCTAACCATAAAACTGGTTAACCATAAACGGAATTATAGGTGACCCCTTTTGGGTTTCAACTCGGGTGCGAGACTCTGTTTTTCCGGACTTGGTCTCGTGCCTTTTTCATGTGCTCTGGCTGCAGTCGCTAAGGGTCCATGTGCGGAAAGGGTTCCTTTTGGGCTTCTTTTAAAGGGTTCCTTTAAGTTTTTTTTTTTTTTAAGGGTTCCTTTCAGGGTTCTTGTAAGGGTACCATAAGGGTTCTGTCTGTCTGTCTATGGGTTCTGGATTTGGGGTTTCAGGGTCGATGGCACCCATATACTGTAACATCCTATATACCTTGGCCATGAGGTACCTGTAAAGGATCCCTTTAAGGAGCGCTTAAAGGAGGCTTTACGGCCAAAAGTATATACTTTAGGTACTGCCCCCCCCCCCATACAGTAAGAGTCTATAATAGGGCTACGATTAAGGTCCTAACATATTTATATCATGAAAATTATTCAACTATTACTGAGTGGGGGCCGTACCCAATATATACTGACATGGACCCTTAGGGAACCTCCAGGAAACTTCCGAGGCCCAGCCGTTTGGGGCTTGTAGGGTCTATGGTTTAGGGGTAAGGTTTGGGGATTATGGTTTAGGGGTTTGGGGTTTGGGGTTTGGGGTTTAGGGGTAGGGTTTGGGGTTTAGGGTTTAGGGTGCAGGATTTTGAACTCGGTGTTTTTAGGAGCTATTAGTTTATTGGCTCAGAGCATTGTGACGCTGTGCAGCAGTCGGATCAACTAGTAAATAGTCGTGCCCCCTGAAGACCACCCCTGTCTTTCTCTGTACGTGTGGTTTTCAAAACTAGTGTCCCGTTTTGGGTGCCCTAAATATTGAGTGCCGTATTATGGGACCCAAAGAGGAACCATAATTTTGATAACCACCCATTTAAAATTATGAACAATTATAGTGTCTATATATATATATACACATATACGGAGTTCCATTAACCTTTCTTAAATGCCATAAGCCAGCAGCTCCCAACTGTCTGGGTAGACTTCCCGAGAGTCGGGTTCAATGTTTGATTTATGGTTGTGAGGTTGAGGCTGAGGGGAACTGGAGTTTGTGTAAGTGGTATCTGTGCACTGAAGTGGCTGCCCAACTCAGAGCCAAAAGAGCGGGCAGTAGCAACAGATCTTGTGATTATACATACGACTTCCACTCAGTCTTGTATTTTCGGAAGCTGCCGAAGAATCACTACAGTCTAACTTAGCCGCAAGAAAGGATGAACACCTAGCAAGTGTGAACCTGCTATCGTCATCGCACATCGGGCGCGACTTGGAGGGTCGAGGGACTTAGTAACTAGGTAGTAAGTAGACTTATAAGCACCCTAAAAGGGACCCTAATTGGGGGTTATGGTACTTATAAGTCCCTAAAGTAACGAGTTACTAAGTCCCCCGACCCTCCAAGGAGGGCATGTAACCCAGCCCCACACCTGCTGTTTTGTTGTTTTTTTTGATCAGCTGGCCTGGCAGTTCTGCGGCATCGCCTGCCACCCCATTCCCCTCAGGGTCCATAAATTAGTACATTAGATAGTAGGAGGACTCCGAAATAAGGTACCCTGATTATCGGAAACTCCCGTATAGTCTATACATGGGCCTTAAAGTAGGCCCCATATAAGTACTTCAAGGCCAAAGTATCTAGTATATGGGTGCACTTAACGCCCTTTGGGTTCTTCACTTGCATCCCTCCAGCCACCGCAACTTCAAAGAGCAACGTAGTTTTGCCAACTTACGACAGTACAATCAGAACATACGACGATTGAAAGAAATAGATCGCGGCATAGTCATATTCTAGCCTCCCCGAAATAAGCCCTGAACCCTTACATAAGCCCTAATCTGCTAAAGAATATTATAACCCTTAAACCCTGAACCCTTAAACCCTAAACCGTTAAAGCCTAAACCTCATGATTGAAGCCTGCGCGCCAAGACGAGGTCGACCACGGGGAGACATCCATGCAAGCTCACAGGCATTGCGAAGGTTTAAGGGTTTAGGATTTAGGGTTTTGACCCGAAGCTCTTAGATATTGAGCCTTCTAGACTGTGAAACAAATTCAATAGCGGCTGGATTCCGCGCTCCACCTACGACGCATGTGGTCTAGGTGTGTGTGTGTGTGTGTGTGTGTGTGTGTGTGTGCGTGTGTGTGTGTGCGTGTGTGCGTGCGTGTGTGCGTGTGCGTCTCTGTGTCTGTGTGTCGTGGGTGTGGTGTCTCTCGTTTGCATCGGTTCCATCTTTCCAGAGTTTGTTTGTTTTTACTTTTGGGTTTGCCGCTTTTCTGAAGGTGTGCCCCTTTCGGAGCTGCTCCATGGTTGAGTTTTGTTGACACTGCCTTAAACCTTACTTTGAACCCCAATGTCTAAAGTCTAAAGCCCATCGTCATATAGGTCCCTGCAAGACCTCTTGGCTTCCGACGCGAAGGAGGGACCCGGAAGCCCAGATACCTATTGTAAGGGTAGCTGTCAGGAGTATGACCGAAAACCGAGCCGTCTTTGGGATTGCAAAGAACATTTCCCTTTGCCACACCCTAAGAGTCCCTGTAACAGTGTATCAGTACATTATAGGGTTTGTCCTTCTCAAGAGTAGTTACAAAGAGTAGCTTCAAAGAGACAGACTGCTTTAGAACCAAAGTACATACTATGCGGAACCCTATCAAGCCTGCCTTACCCACCGAAAACTTCCTATTTTGGGGGACCTTCCATAAGGAAACCATACTAGGAAACCCAAAAATCGTAGGCGCTGGGGGGGTTCACGTAAAGCCCGAACTTCACCCGTATACCCTAAACCCTGAACCCCTAAAGCCCTAAACCCTAGACACAGTGTCGCAGGGCTCTGGGCAGCGCGCCCGGCCATCGGCCAACGCCACTCCAAAGAGGCTGCTTTGCGTGATTCCAACCCTAAACCCAAAACCCAAAACCAAAAAAAACCCGAAACCCGAAACCCGAAACCCCAAACCCTAAAACCCCAAAGCACGAAACCTTGAAACCCTAAGCCCTCAGACGAGGACCCTCAACACTGAACCCTAACCCCAAACCCGAAAACCCTAAAGCCCTAAACCTTCGAACCCTAGACCTTCGTCCCAGGACCCGTAAACCTTCAAACCCTAAACTCTACATACCCTAAGGGTCCATGTACCCATATAGAGATACATGAGCCCCAAAGTACCTACATAGGGACTACATTATATACTATCTGAGTACATGGACCCTTAGGGATAAAGCTAAACCCTCGAACCGTAATCACGAAACCTAAGAGCGCTAAAGGCTCCCACACTCAAAGGGCCTACAATGCCTGGGAATGGTGGTCAGGGCTTTACGGTTCTGTTCCTCGGTAGCGGTAGTATTTGGGAGACCCCTTAAACGGGGACCCTTCTGAACAGACCTTACTGAGAGGGTCTGTATGCCCAAGCGAATGATGGCTTGTCCTTAGGAAGTTTGCGTCATCTGGTTCGTTGGATTTGGTCTCGTAGATCCCTTATCCTAAGGGTCCAAAGGGCCCAATAACTAGGTACTCGGTTTTTGGATAGTAGTAATGTAGGGTAGTGTTGTGGAGATTATATGATTATTAGGTACTTGGACCCTTGAGGTTAAGAAGGCTACATAAACCCTAAACCCATAGATTCTCAACCCCTGGCCAGAAGAGCGACGTCCAAGACAGCGGCGCTGTTGGCACAGACCCTGTCATCACCGAGGCCAGGAAGGAAATTGCAGAGTCTTGATCTAGCCTTTAAGCACGTGTAAGACTTTCCCTAAACCCTAAACCCTATGTATACATATATACACACACATATCTATAAACATATATATATATATACACATACAAATGTCGTATAGATATGTGTGTGTATACATAAGTACACATACACCCTATGGCAGACCCGAAACCCTCAACTCCAAGGTAGAGGCCCGAGGCATTCGACCTGCGTCCTGAACTTTTTCGACATCTTACCAACTACTTGGAGGGTCGGGGGACTTAGTAAGTAGGTAGTAAGTAGACTTATAATAAGTACCCTAAAAGGGACCCTAATTGGGGTTATGGTATTGATAAGTCCCTAAAATATCCAGTTACTAAGTCCCCCGACTCCATCGTAGTTCCTTCTTGGGCTTCATATGGGAGTTTCCGAAAATAGGGGATCCTATAATATAGTACCCCAAATAGTGGGATCCTTATTAAGGACCCCCAAATAAGGTACCCCTAATTTTCGGAAAACACCATATCTAGAATCCTATAAGGTATACCCAAAAAGGAACTACTATGGAGCCTCTGGGCACAGGGGCCTGACGACTGGTAATTGTAGTATGCAGGAACGTGCCTTGCAGTACTTGTGGTATGCATGGCACCATCGTTTTTTGTTTTAATTGCAGTACAATATACAACACCGATTCCTTACTGTATTACTGTATTCTCACGGTTACGGCTCCGCTACTACTTTGCCCGAGTTTGCCTAGCGCCCTAGGTCCTAAATCCAATAAGGCCCAAGGCCCGAACCTACCCCCCCTTGTCAAGGAAACTATAGGCTCCCAAGCCCCAAAACCCTGATTTTTAAGATAAAAAACCTCTCGCAAAAACAGACCCTGAGCCCGACAAAACCCCAAAGCCCCAAACCCTAAGCCCCAAAATCCTACTTCATCAAAGCACCGCCAAAACCTTAAGCCTATCCTCCAAAACAGCTAGCTTCGGGTGCGAACGTCAAACACAAAGCCATCCGGCAAGGCCAACGCAGCGGACCCCAGGCGAGGCCTTGTGATCAAGCTTTAGGGTTTAGGGATTGCCCCCCCCCAGGGGTTTAAAGCTTTGGGTTTAATTCGGAACTAAAATTGGGACGTAGACAGTTCCTTAGATGCCGGTGAATTACATGACTTCCGGGCTGAGCTTTGGGATACAGCTTGAGGATGTAACGGGCCTGATAAAGGTGTTCAGCTTATTGTGAACCCTAGAAAGTTGGAACATGGATTTAGGATGATCATTGCTAGCTTAAGGGCATGAGGGGAATGGTGTTCCGACTGTTTGACTTCTGTTGTAAAGGGTTCTGTGGTATGGGTTTAGGTACTCGCTATAAAGGCTTAACAGTCCAAGCTAGCGAGCCCATAGGTATGTGGGCCTCGTCGCAATCTGCGGAAGATTCAAGCGTCGGTGCCCGTGACAGGTATTGTCATACAAAGATCCGTGGGCCTGGGATATTGCAGACGTGCACAGAGCAAGCCCAGCAACAATGTCCCAAAACGGGGCAAGCAGCTGCGCAAAGCTTGGTCAACTGCCAAGGCATAGCAGTGACGGTGAGCCTCCCAGAAGAACCACACAGTTCTCACGTAGGCTGGCATTTGGCACGTGGACCCCGAGGAGGTTGGAAGCCTTGTTACCCAGCAGATAATTGGAGGTTTGTGTTGGTGTTTGTAAAAGCACAAATTTCGGCCGTCGGGGCCTATATTAGCATCTCTGCCTCTGAAAGTCCCACCTAGTAGGATGCAAGATTTGGACCCTCCATTGTATAAAGGCATCCGCAACCAAAGTTGCTCGCAATCCGAGCTGCAGAGGCGGCCCTACGGACAATGCAGCTGTATGAAGGATGGACGCAAGATTCGATGCGAGGATCACATGATGGGCACTTCGTCCCGGACATCACGGCACTCCGGAGTTCGGCTGTCGGTAGTCGGTATAGTCGGCTACGAGAGGCAGCTCAAAGGGGCATTACTAGGTAGGACTTTGGGACATGTAATATGTGCTCTTATTGGGCTTAGGAGGATCTTACCTACCAATTGATATTTTTCAAAGGCTTCAAAAGCCCCTCCTAGTATTATAATGGGAACTATGGGCCCTTGCTGGGAGAACGATGTCCTCCGGGTTGAGTTGGATATTACTGTTTCCGCTAGCTCATGTAGACAGCCGTGATTTCCTATCAAACCTACATGCGCTTATACCCAACCTCCCACACCCCACACCGCAAACCGTAGCATTCTAAGCCCTAAACACAATTCCTTGCACCCTAGAAGCCCAAATCCCTAAACCCTGAATGCCCTGCGGTGAAGCAAGGAACCATTGCAAACATCATTCCACGTTGGAGTTCCTTGCTATTGTTCGACTATGGCATTACCCCCGAACCTTGTTCTGATCACTCGGGCCTTCGTATTGCATTTTCTGAGGGTTGTGCTTTGGGACAATTTTAATTTCCCTTATTTCCTGATAAAGGGAACCTACTCATAAACAATTTTCAAAGGGTTTAAAGCACAACCCAGTTCTATTTTTTCCTAGATCTCCAGGCCCAAAGGCGGTAGAGGCCTGCGGGGTGCCATTCCCGGCAGAGTTCAACGACGGCAAGTTGCGGGTGTCTTACAAAAGCTAGTTTTTGTTTCTTGAGGTTTAGGGTTGAGGGCTTAGTATAGGCCTCTCTTACAATTTTGATACACGCCCTGTGAATTATTGGGATTGGTGATACTTTATAACCGTTATCTCGGGGTCGGTATAGTAAGGACTCTATTGCTTAGCCTCTTGGTTCCAGTCGCCTGTTTTCTGAAATCACCACCACTCCACCACCACTATGTCTGATTTAGGATCCGAGTTTCCGGCGTAGGGTTTATCCAAGAGACTGCAATGTCCCTTAATTGGGGAATATATCTTAAGTTTATTGATCCTATTATGATTGAGGGTCTATTCGCGAATAAAGGGATATTGGAGTCTCTGGATGTTCCAACTACAGCACCCACAACCACTGTAGTAGCACGAGTGATTCCTGAGCCCTGAACTGCCGAACGTTTCCAGTTCAATTTGGGGTTAGGGCTTAGGGTTTGGGATTTAGGGAAGTAATAGAGAATTCCCTTGCAAACCTTAAGCACCCTAACCTCCGAAAGCGGCCTTTGCATGCCTTCTCAGGCCGCCACAACTTTGCACAGGCACGCTTCTTCCGCGTTCTGGTGGTCGTGCTACGGGAATTAGGAAAGCACGGGACCTGCTGTAAGAACGACTAACTATGGTAACCGGTGTTGGGGGTGTTTGAGATATTCTAGCTTTTGGTATTGTTCGGTTGTCTCGTAGCTGGACGCCTCGCCCTAAACCCGAAGCCGTACAACATAATTCTGACCAAAGTTGTCGTAATCAGATGGCAGCCAACCCCAAACCCTTAGCCAAAAAACCCTTAACCCTAAACCTACACCAGGCGCCCGAAACCCTAAACCCTGTATAACCCCGACGACCCCAACGTGGATCCTTGCCTCAACCACCGACAACTCACATTCTTAAGGAACTGTAGACAGAAATATTAACAAGGAGCCCTAAACAGATGGGCTTTCGCGGATTAAGGTAAATCCTATGACCTTAAAGACCTCAGGTTGCAGAGACTTTGGTTTGGCGGTTTCCACTGTTATAGGACATTTGATTGGGTTTTCGTGTATAGTTATACTTCAAGCATAAATATTCAACTGTAAAGCCGTACCAAGGAAGGCTAAGGAATAATGTGGGTATTGTGCCGTTTGTTCCGGACCCCTATATGAGTGACCCATATATGAGTTGTTAGTCCTCAGCTGTCCTTAAATAGTATCATCAGCTTGCAATCTTGGCATTTGATACCGTTTACCTCTGGATGTGTTTGCATATCATTTCGTTATAAATCTTACTGTGTAATAGCCCATCATCTGTGGTAGGCTATAATGATGCGAGCACAACGCATTCTCGACATTACCTATGGAACGGCGAATATTCATCGTTGCCTAGAAATGTTGGGTTCATTGAAAATCCCAAACTGGCGAGGGGCCTGCCCACAGATCCAAATACTATACCACTGTGCAAGTCACCCCCAAATCGTAAACCACGTAAGTAAGTCTGTGCAGACGACAAGTAGCTCGAGCTGCAAACACTCATTTGTGATGCATGGTAGCCTTGGAGCCTCTCCGCCGTACTTCGTAGTGGGTCGTAGCAGTGGTACTATGTTCTGTGTTTGTTTATATATATATATATACATATGTATTTGTTTTTGTTAGTAGTAGCGCTAGTAGTATAAGTAGCAGTAGTAGTAGTAGTAGTAGTAGTAGCAGCAGCAGCAGCAGGAGTAGTAGTAGTAGTAGTAGTAGTAGCAGTAGCAGTAGCAGTAGCAGTAGCAGTAGCAGTAGCAGTACTCGCAGTAGCAGTAAGTAGTAGTAGAAGTAGTAGAAGTAGCAGAAGTAGTAAAATAGTAGAGTAGTAGAAGCAGCAGTATCTTTTGGCAGCGAAAAGCAACAGGCACTGTGAGGTTTCGGGTTGGGTTTAGGGTCTGAGGTGCGAGCAAGGTGCGGACAGGGCAGGAAAGGATGAGATTTGCTTTTGATTTTCCCTAAGTGTCCATGTACTCATATAATACATACATTAGCCTTAATGTAGTCCCCATATAGATACTTCGGGGCTCATGTATCTCTATATGGGTACATGGACCCTTAGGGTTTGGGTGTTCAGGACACTGCATCGACTCAGCTGAGTGAGCGGCTGTCGCGGCAGGCCTGCTCATTCATCCCAGTCTCATCAAGAACATGCAGGTGCCATGAACTGTGTGAAATCTGCACCGTACCACCTGAATCTTGCTTGTTCCGAGGATTCTCACCTGGCAGAAACAAGATCGGGTGTTCTGTCAACATTCACACACAACCTTCCCTGCACGTGGATGATCTGCAACAGGGGAGTCCCTGTATCGTTGCTTCATCGTTAAGCCATGGGATAGCCAGTAGCCGCGCAATCTGATACAGTAACATCGTGGTAGGTTTGCATCTCCTCGAAAAGAGTGCTCCGCCAAGAAAGCCTTCAACGTTCTATTTCGATTTATCTCGCTCCTCCGCTGCTGGCGTGTTTCCTCGTCCAACCGCTACGACGACAAGGCTACCACGTTTTGTAGCACTAGTACAACTACTATACTACTACTACTACTACTACTACTACTACTACTACTACTACTACTACTACTACTACTACTACTACTACTACTACCACTTCTACTACTACTACGACGACGACTACTACTACTATTACTACTACTACTGCGACGACGACTATACTACTTGTGGCTACTGCACTCCTGCAACAACATGCAACAACTACTTTACCGTTACTGCGAGCTGCGAACTGCGGTCTTTGCACAGCATAGCTTCCATCGGCCAACCTCTGACAGTCGCTTGAGGTCGACTACTGTAGCTGCTATGGCTGCGTTGTACATAGTAGCACTGTGAAAGCGGACTATCAGAGGAGGCGACGGTCGCATCGACACGCAATGCCCGCAAGGAACATTCAATGAACTTGCCTTCGAAGTTAGGGTTTGGGGTTTATCATCCGACTTCATTCGGCATCATGGCAATGAATCGCGTCCTGTTTGCGGCACAGGTGGCTCGTGCCGCCGTCGCGGTGGATGCAGCAAAGGGCTCCAGTCGCGGTCGAGGCGGTTAGGGGTTTAGGGGTTTAGGGTTTGGACCTCTGTAATTCGATCGCAACAGGCCCGACAGCTGAGTTCTGAACCACGGGAAGCAGGTCATGTACTTCAATAACTGTAAGTTCAGACATTGGGGCTCGGTTTAGCACCGGGAATTCCAGTTGATTCGCTGGGAAAGTACGGCTTACCCAGTCTTCCGTGGTGAGTTATATTATAGGGGGAACTTCAGGCCATTAAAAGCGGGACGTAGGCCCGAAGCAGGGCCAAAGCAGGAGCAGAATCGCAGCACGAGGGGAATCCTAAAGCATGAGTGTAACAAGTACAACGTGTGAATAGATTGCGAATTTATGCACAGGTCTGTAAGCAGTAATTGGGGACGTATGCAGATCAGTATGCATGTGCTTGTTTGTCTTAGTTTGTTGGGCAGTAAGGTTTTAGTGTGTATGGCGAGGCACCTATGACTTTTGTGGAGGTACGTACCTAGGTGTAAATTTAACTGTTTGCATTTATATAGTCATATATGTACGCACGCAGCTTATACATTTTGTACTCCCATTAAAACGTGAGTAGACCTTTGGCGGCTAACTCAGTCCGCAGCGCATGCTTGAACTCTATCTCATAATGTTGATGTATAAACTTGCGATACGACCATATAGTTACTAAAACGGATCATGGCTATATTCATACATTCTATACGTTTGTTTATACAATATAATCTAGCATAGCTGGCTATACAATGTTCTCATCTTCAAATGGAGATGCCATGCCGTTTTACAAACCCTGTCTGTGCCACCATCTTGTCTCGATGTGAGAGTTTCTGGATAACGGGGTCCAACGTAGCGGCCTTAATAATTGGAATAGGCGTTGGGTTCTTTTCATCGTTTTTTATGACAAGGAGTCCTTAAGTCTCAAGGAACAATGTTGACAATTCTCAAAAAGCTTCTATATCTATACCAGGCTTTGGAGGGCAGTGACAGTGCGAAACCAGTCTCGTAACCAACTCGTCATGTCTAGCACTCTGTCAACAAGCAGCTGAAGCCTCCACCAATCCCTGCGACTGAGACCTGACTACCTTGAGGGTCCACGGGCCCAGTAGTTTATACTTGAGCCCCAGAGTACCTATACCACTTTACGACTTCACGGCCAAAGCATATTCTGTATGAGCACATGGACAAAACACCTAAATCTAACCCCCTATATAATTTATCTAGAACCCGTATAGCACCCCTGTATAGAACTGTTATACTACCCTTACATACTTAACTTATACAGAACCCTTGTAGTACCCCGATACACAGCCCTTATAGTAACCCTACATGGAACTCTTATACTACCCCTATATAGAACCCATATCTTAGTCCCCCATTACCCAACCTTTACACTTTTGGGTTATAGTTTAGGAGTAACCGGAAAGTTTAACCTTTTATTTCTCTGGCTTATAGGGGAAGCAAACAGAACTCTTATACTACCCCTATGTAGAACCCTTATCGTACCCCAAGCCTGCATGAGGAAGCCAGGGATGCGCACTGCGGCGTCCGCCGAGGGAGCATTGCGTCTCCCGACTGAATCGGCCGAAGAGCCTCTGTGGTCTGAAGCTGGGGTGTGGGGTGGCATCAGGGTTCTATAGAAGGGTACTATCAAGGTTCTTGATAAATTTTTAAGTTATATAGGAACACTATAAGGTTTTAGGATAGACCCCAAAGGTACTTGGAACAACAAACCGCTTATAGGCTTCGGGCAACCATTTTACCTACTGTTGGGGGGTTTACGTAGCCCTTATATGTCCCTGTATGAGCCCTAAGCTTAAGGTTCTAGGGTTCGATGGCCGGAAAGCCTAAACCCATAGACCTTGAAACGTGCAAAGCGTGGAGGGGTTTGATTGTACCGTCTTCCGTGGTTGGGGAAAGTTCCGAAGACTATGGAGCTTCATGTCCACTGGGCCGCAGCGTCCTGCTTCAAAGTAGTTGTTGTATCCTTCGGATTCTTTTATCTTGGTCCATATAAAGCCCAAGAGAATGTGCAACATATTATTGCCATGATGGTTCTAAGGAGGTATAGCATAGTGGGTGTGTGGTTTAGGCCTTCGTGTTTAGGGCGTGTGGTCTAGGGCAGGGTATGGGAATGGTTTGGGGGTGGAGCTTTTGCTGCCCTAATTGCCGTAACCCATGAGAGTTTCCGCAAATGGGGGACCCTAATGTAGTACCCTAAATAGTAGGATCCTTATTATAAGGACCCCAGAATAAGGTGCCCCTAGTCTTCAGGAATTTCCCTTATAGTCCCTGAGGGTTCATGTACCGGTTACTATATGGTTAAACGTTACACCCTTTAAACCTTTAAGGCCAAACCGTGCATTGCAGAAGCCCGGGGCTGGCTGTAGGTTCATTCTTTTCAGGTTTAGGGTTTAGGGTCTAGGGGATTCAGTATTGCGGTTCAGGGATTTAGAGTTTATAGGTTTGTTGCGGTCGTAGCCGTCAATTCGCCATCGATGTGCCCAGAAGGTTGGCAGACGGTGGCTCCCTCCGGGTTCTGGGTTTAGAGTTCGGGGTTCAGGGTTTTGGGTTTAGGAAGTAGGGTTAGGGGTTCAGGGTTTAGGGTTTGGGGTTTAGGAATTAGGTCAAGCAACCGATTGCAGCATCGAAAACCCCAGAGACACGAACTCTAAATCCTTAAAGCCCGGTAATGCAGGGGCCTTAGTAATTAGAATAGCCTTTTGGGCCATATCACTATGCTATGATAAGGAACCACCCCCCCCCCCCCCCCCCAAAAAAAAAAAAAAACAAAAACAAAAAAAAAATATAGATATATATATATATATATATATATGTGTTTATTGGGCTGTATATATATATATATATGTATATATATATATATATATAATGCTATGATGAGAACCCCCCCCCCCTAAATAGGTATTGTTTTGAGGCCCCCATGGTAGAGGCTTTGCATCACGGCCAGGTGGCCGAGTCCGAGATCTCCCTTTTGCAGCTCTCGGCAGGCGGGCCACGGTTTTTGCAAAGACAGAGCCCACCGGGACCCTAAAGAGCCTCCCCTTTCAGGGGTTCCTTATTATGATATCCTTATATAAGTCCTTAAAGAGGTAGGTTATTCTGGGTTAAGGTAGGGTTTAGGGTTTAGGGCTTCCTTTTCTGGTGTGTGGGTGACACAAGTACTAGTTACTAGTACTAGTACTACTACTACTACTGCTACTACTACTACTACTACTACTTCTACTACTACGATGACTACGACCACGACTACGACGGCAACTGGCAACTATCACGGACGACGACGACCGCCTATTGGCTATTGGTATTAGCACTGTACTGTACTGCTACTACCATCACGGCGGCCTTTTCAACCTGGCTTCCCCGATGACTCAGAGACGATGCAGTCGAAGAGTTCCTTACTGTCTCCATAGGATCAGCAACAAGATCAGATGCTTGTGTCATCGATGAATGTGAACGATCGAGACGAGAACAGCTGCGGAAATGCTGCCTCTACGCAATACAAGAAACCGTTAGTTCCGCCACTTATATCAGGTGCCGGCAATCGCATTATCCCCCCCCAACCCTGATTTTGAACCCCCTGAGCCCTAATGCGTAAACTCACGCTGACAGAGGACTCCGCCACGACGTGGCGCACGAGTCGCCCATGCAGGACTGCAGCAGATTTGATCGCTTCGATCGCTTCAGGGTACGGGTGTTTTGTTCCACTTTTGGGTGTTCTCGCATAGTGTGGGAGGTTGTAGTTATTCACGTCGGCATTTGCATGCGTGGCCTTAAGGACTTGCTAGAGGTGTTCTTGCGCCCCAGCAGTACGGTCCTTCAGCAAAAAGGCTGTTTTAGGGCCCAGCCGAGCAACTGCACCCTATTGGTAGCACGTGCCTACTGGTGATCGTGCAGAGGTTGGCTGATGCATTATGTCCGCGTGAGCATACCCATAGCTAATTCTTGCGACCATCTCCGTAACTATACGCACTGACTGATGTATCTTAAGACTTAAAAACCTTGCTATGCATGATATACTGTACAATAATAGAATGGCCATGTATATTTAATGGCAATATGTTGTTGGCTGAGGAAGTGGGGAATCGGGGGATCACTTCTGGGGGTGTCGACATGCTGCAGGGGAAATTCATAGGCACCCTTATATAGCGGGGTACGGGGGAGGGTAGGGGACTATACTGCCCTAACAAGGCCTTATTAGGTCATTATGGGCATTGAGGCACCCTATCCCCCCCCCCCCTAACCCCTAAGGGTCCCTATGAGAAATGGTGCAACCTCCAACCCAAACCCACTTGGAGGTTCAGGGGTAGTTACAAGTGGGGTTTATACGTCCCCGAGTAATAAGTCCCCTAATATGGGTTATAAGTATAGTTACCAATTATTTCATAAGGCTTTTGGTTCATGTTGAGCCTGCGGGAAAGGGTTGGTTTAGGGTTTTAGTTACTTTGGGTGCCGAAGTATCTACTTAGGACCTACTGGTGCTTGGACCCTTTGGGCAAGCTAACCCCAATGTCTGTCTCTTTTTCAGAGCCAGAAGCCCGACACAAATCTTCCTTGCAAGCCCTGTCGAAACAATCCGCAATGCCTACAAAACACCTTGGTAAGCCATGGATATACCCTCAGCCCGTACTACACACCCCACACGGAGCCAATGCATACACTCCCCCACCCCACACTTCCGTCACCCAACATTTCTAAACACTCGGGCATCCACTGATGATCCCAACTATCACTGCGAATGCCGCCTAAGACTGAGGCGGCATTGGGCCCTACAGCCTTGAGCCATAAACTTAAACCTCCGAAAAGGCACAACACCCTAAACTCCTGAACCCTAAACCTAGAACAGAAAACTAACCAAACCCTGAACCCATCTGAACCCTAAAGGCGACAGAAGCTTGAATAGCCCCGAACAGTACTACAGGGGCTTAAATGATGACCAATACTATTGTGGGGGCCCCTTACTATAAGTATAGTATAACGGGCCCCAAAACCCTAAATGCTAATTATTAAGGCCCCCAATATAGCACCCTACCATAGATCCCCTATCGACCCTTTTAAAGCTGCCCTCAAAGGAACCCTATTCCAATAATTAATAGTGGCCCCAAAACCCTAAATTCTATTTATTAAGGACCCAAAAATAGCACCCTACTATAGATCCCCAATCGACCCCCTTTAAAGGAGCCCTTCAACGAACCCTATTCTAATTATTAAGGGCCCTAGATCGTAGACCCCTATTATAGATCCCCTGCAGACAGACCCCTTTAGAGGACCCCTTAAAGGAGCCCTATTCCAACAATAGTGGCCTCAAAAGCTTAAATTCTATTTATTAAGGCCCCAAATATAGAACCCTACTATAGATCCCCTATCGACCCCCTTGAAAGGAGCCCTTCAAGGAACCCTCTTTCAAGTAAAAAGGCCTCAAAAGCAGTACCCTGAGCCTCGCCACAGTCCCGCCGATCGCCTCGGAGCTCCAGCTCAACATCCTCCAGGCTTCGGAAGATCTGGGAGGTTCCGAAAATAGGGCACCCTACTATAGTACCCTAAATAGTAGGATTCTTATTATAAGGACCCCCACAATAGGGTACCCCAATTTTCGGAAATTCCCATCTGGTTTCAAATTTCTGGTTGTTTATACTACCCAGAGGCCCCAAAGTAGGTCCTTTTTGGGGTATATGTAGAATCCTATAAGGTAGTCCCAAAAAGGAACTGCCATGGGGCCTCTGGGTATTGCTGAGTAGGAACCTGATTAAGAAACCTTGGGCCATGATTAGGGTTCCTCATATGAATCCTACTATGTTGGGGGGTTATAGGGCTGTTACCTTAAGGGCCCAAAGGACCCAATAATTGGGTACTCGGATTTAGGATAGTAGTTATGTAGGTTAGTATTTGGGAGAGTATATGATTATTCGGTACTTGGACCCTTAGGGTTAATATTGTTGCTATTTATTTTTGTTATTGTTATTCCAATGGTTACGGCCCCTATAGTCTGTCGCATTCTTATAGAAGCCGTTTTTGTAAGGCCATATAGAAACGGTTTTTTAAGTTCGATATGACTTGTCTCTGGTTCTGGAGCGCTTACGTAGTACAGGGCTCGAAGTCAGTTTAGGGTTTCGAGGTTTAGGGTCTGGGATCCGTCGGGGGTGTTTTCGAGTCGAGGGCTGTGGGGGTCGCGGCCTCTTTAGTAATTAGATCGCCTCTTTAGTGTGTTCTGCCTTAAGTCTCCATTGTGGTTCCTTTTCCTGGTTATAACCAAAAACTCTATCATAGGGTCCTAACCATAAAACTGGTTAACCAAAAACAAGAACTGCACTGGAGACTAGGTGCAGATCAGACTTCGGGCTTATCAGGTGTAGAGTTTGTGAAGTTTTCGGGATTTTTGGGTTTGGGGTTCAGGGTTTTGGGTTTTGAGCTGTTGGGTTTAAGGTTGGTAATAATGTCCTTTCAAAGCCTATACAACCAGTAGTATAGAAGATCCCATATAGTGCCTTCAACACGTCCCGGGCTTACAACCCAGGTTCAGCAGCAATGAAGGGTCTCGTGTGGGGGTTTCGAGGTTCAAGTTTCAGGTTTGGGTTTAGATCAGGGATTTGGGATAGGTTTAGAATCCTGCTGGTTGTTGCCATTGCAGGCTGTCTTTGCTGTCGAGGTTTAGCACTGAGCTGTTGCAGTTTTGCTTGTGGGGCTGCGAGTCAGCTTCGGCTTTGCAAAGCTTTGCAGTACTCTGAGCAGCGGTTTTGGGACACCCACGTTTGCGCAATGGCTCAGGGGGTGCTCTCGCTTCGTGATGTTCCGTGTTAGCTTGAGCAAGCTCAGCTTCCCTGATAACTCCGTCATGTCACCCAGACTTCCCTAAGGGTCCATGTACCCATATAGTAGATAGTATATACATGTGCCTTAAAGTAGTGAGGGCCAAGTTATCTAGTATATGCCATAACCTACCAAACCCTACTTTTTTGTAGGTTCTTATGAAGAACCCAATATGTTGTTTGCAGGGGCCCTACAAAAACGTAGGTTTGGGTAGGTTAAGGTAGTGTATGGGCACATGGCCCCCTAGGGAGTGGAAGTTGTCGCCCGCGAGAGCTCAGCATTGCAAGTGAAGGAGATGCAGGTCGGCCCACTCTTCTTTGACGAAGCTGGGGCCCAGAGACTCCAACATCCCTTATAACAAGGAATATACCCTACATCATATTGGTTATCCTACTATAAATTAAGGTATTTTCATTAAGTAAGGCGTATTGGAGTTTCTTGGGGGGTTTGGTGGCAATGGCCTATCATTCCGGATGAAAGGTGATCTTCAAGCGTTGGTGGACATCCGCCGGACCAATTACCTCAGCATCTGCGCATTTCGGGCAGCTTCTCGCATGCTGGAGCTCTCCACTCAGAACGCACATCGATCGCAATCGGGACAGTGTTGGCCCGGCAATAAACAAATAGCTCATCGCCATAAAGTCAGAGTCTTCTGCTAGAGGCACAAGCCCCAAGCTCTGCAACATCCTTCAACCCTGAGCCCTGAACCCTCAACCCAGAGATTCAATCCCAACTCGGTCCGACGGCATCACCCAAACCCTACCACCAGACCCTAAACCCTAAACCCCAGACCCTGAACCCTAAACCCTGAACTCTTGCCCCGCTTTTCGACTTACTTGCAAGGCCGAAAAAGGGGCGGCAACAAAAGAAACCTGAACCCTACAGCCTACCCTTCGTCATCTTCCAGGTCTCCGCATTCGCCCGGGCGCTGTCCCTGGCACGGCTCGGGCGCTGCTGCGCGCTCCGGCGTGGCACCCTTGTACTACGAAGGCTTGCAAGAGCGGTCCAGCATGTAGGGTTTTTAGATCTACATTCTACATACGTGAATTATTGAGTGAGTCCTGGCAGTCAAGAGTGTACAGCTGAGTAGATACGGACACGGGAACAACAAACGGGTACTGTAAACATGTTTCACAACACCAAACACAGTTCAGCATTCTTCCTGTGTGTGTATGCATGGATATATTTTGCGTCAGCCGCATGCACGCATGCTGCACGAATGAGCCAGACAATGCCCGGGTGTGCTATCAGAAGATTGGCCAGAATGACTTTGGCATGGTCTCTAGAAACTTCGCCATCGAGAAAATGTCTTAACACTAGGCCTTCGAGCCCTGAAAGTCAAACCTCCAACCCAAGACTTGACCACCCCTAACTGTGCCAATACACTTAGCTACAAGAGGCCCCGAACCCTGTTTTCACGACTGCCTTCGAAGCCCAAATCTCGGCCAAAAACCCGAAACGCCTAGAGCAGTACGTGGGTAAATCCAAAGCCGATAGCAGCCCTGTCCGGGCCCTGTCCCTAAGGGTCCATGTATCTATGGATAGTATCTACGTGGGCCTTAAAGTAGTCCCTATGTAGGTACTTCAGGGCCAAAGTATCTATATAGTATATGGGTACATGGACCCTTAAAGCCTAAACCCCCAAACCCCTAAACTCCTAAACTCCTAAACCCTAAACCCCTAAACCCTAAACCTCTAAACCCTAATGGTACCCTATTGAACTCTTAAATCCTTAAAGGAACCCTAGTTGGGTACATGGACCCTTACTTGGAGCTTCATGGGACTTAGCAAGTACAGTCGCAAGTACTCTGACTGGGATTATAAGTACATATAAGTGTAGTTACCTTAATTATAACCCTGGTTACTAAGTGTAGGATTTCTCTGAGAGGTCCGGATCTTCGGTTCACCTCCGAGGCCGCGCTGTCCCTGGAGGCCGCGGGATTCCAGGCCTGGCTGGGTTTTTGGCATCTTCTTAAAGTTTAGGGTGTTTACGGTTTAGGGGTTTAGGGTTTACTTGCAGGTTCATGGGTAGTCATAAGTGGGGTTATAAGTCCCCTAATACGGGTTATAAGTATAGTTGCCCTACTTATAACCCTAATCATAACTACCCATGACCCTCCAAGTATAGTATACCTAGACCCCCCAACTACCCTCTAATATACCCTAAATACCCACTATTAAGGACCATAAGCGCTCTATTAATGGGCACTTGAGGGGGTGCTGGGAAGCCAGAAAGTTGGAACATTAGTATCATGCCCTTAAGGTAAAGTATAAGGGATCCTCGCACTAGGGTTTAGGGTTTAGGGTTTAAGGGTTTAGGGTTTAGGGTTTAATCCTCGTAAACCCATGTTCCAACTTTCTGGGACTTGCTATAGGGCCTTTGGGGCCAGAGACTCCAATATCCGCTCATTAAGCTATACCCTAAGGCTCCTAAAGGGGTCATGGGCTTTCTGGCTAGGGTTTGGGATCTCACTACCAGGGTCCAGGAGCATTAGGGTATGGCTTAAATCATATGGCTCCCAGAGGGTCCAAGTACCCAACTAGTAGGGTTTTACGGTCCAAAAACCATTCAGAGAATGGACTTTGGAAACTAAAACCCTACTATTTGGGTACTTGGACCCTTAGGGGCTTAAATCATGTTAGGGATCTTACTATACAGAAAGACTCCAACTATAATTTAAGGTATGCAAATACTGAGGGATATTGGAGTCTCCGGAGGGTTTAGGTTCTTTTAGGGTTTTTAGGGCTTTTGGGGTTTAGGGTTTACCTCAAGCCTGAATATCCTACCTTCTTAAGGACTTTGATATCATAATGTGGAACCCTAAAAAGGTAGGTTCTTAGCGTCCAGGTATAGGACTCAGGGACCTAAACCCTCAACCCTAAGCCGAGGGTTTATGGATCTAGGTTTAGGGGTGTACCCTAAACCCTAAACCCTAACCCTAAACCCTAAACCCTCAATGGCAAAGAAGAGAAAGAGGGAAATTCAGGAGGAGACGAAGAGGTCGAAGCAGGCCAGTGGTGCAATCCGGATCGATAGCGTTGTGGTGCGCGGAGTGTTGCGGAGTTCCATCCCTCGGAAATTGCGGAAATCAGTTCCATTGCAATGAAGCCATCAAGAAACTTCCGCCGGTGTTGTATGATCGCACGTTTCGCGCAGCGCTTTGAGATCAAAATCTTGGTAGCGATGCCGCTTGTTCCCCAGGTTCGCCCCGGGATCGACAGCGAACCCGTCTTTCGGGAAATTGAGACCCCTTTCTTGAGGGCCGGAGTCTCGATTCGGAGAGGGGGAAATTTCATCAGGGACAAGGCCTCTGCCACCGGAGTCTTACAGGGACTCGCGAACGTCAACAATAATGCGATGTCGGTGGCGACCCTCTTCACACAGTACTACGTCTTCTCGGGTCAGGCAGACGTTGCCGAGGACCTTCGAACCCGACTGAAGCTTCCTATCAAGGATATCCCACCGGTTATCAACGCCATTCGTGGCTTAGCAGCCGAGTTCAACATGGAGAGCCCAGACGTCACTAAACCCTAACCCTAAACCCTAATCCTAAACCCAAAAAAAAACCTAAACCCTGTTTGTTCGGACTTTGGGAGGACCGGGGCTCGATTTCCGCATGACTTGAAAGGCGAAGTACAGGCTTTCATTTCTGATTAACCCTAAGGGTTTAGGGTTTAGGGCCTTAGGGTTTAAGTACCCAAATAGGAGGGTTTCAAGGTCCAAAAACCATTCGGAGTATGGATTTTGGCACCTAAAACCCTACTATTTGGGTACTTGGACCCTCTGGGTGATTACCCATAGGCCCCAAAGTAGTTCCTTTTTGGGATTACCTAATCGGAGTGTAAATCTGAACCCCAAGTAGGAACTACTTTAGGGCCTTAGGGTAAGGCATGCCCATAGCGAGTAGGTGCCAAGCCCAGAGCCACACTTGCAGAAGCCTTTTCCGCCAGAAATTGCTTCGGGCTTTTGGATATTGGCGGATCTTTTGGGTGTCCCTGCAAAGGATGCTGCCAGTTGCGAGGGCCCCGTCTTCTGAACCCCAAATGGTGGACCCAGACGGCCCAGACATCGCGCTTCGACAGAATCTCTGCTCTTGTGCTAGAAAGCTGTTTCTAGAGCCTTATATCAACAACCCTAAACCCCAAGCCTTAAACCCTTATATATATATATATATATATAATGTATATATATATATATATATAACCCTAGAATCATAGGCTTGTTCCGTCATTGCAGGTGTCTGCTGAGTTCCTCCCTCCGAGAAGACTCCCAGGCCAGGGTTTGCGGACTCCTATAAGGCTGTATGGTTCAGGTTCGGGGATATACCTACCCAAAGGGTCCTATGCACTGTTGTGGGGAATAATTCCCCAAATCGTAATAGTAATTCCTAATATTGAAACCCTACATTCTACTATATCGGTACTTTGGACCCTGTGGGCTTTTGTCTCCATTGTAGTTCCCTTTTTTGGCTAGCTATTCTTTTATAACCAGGATACCTTATAAAGGAACTACAATGGAGACTATATGTAGGTATGGTTCAGGTTGGGGGATTTATGGTTCATGGGTCTATAAACTTTACCTGGACCCTGAATGACCTACCTTTTTTAAGGACTTATATAAGGAAATCACCCTAAACCCTAAACCCTAAACCGGGGCCCTAGAAAGGTAGGTTCTCTAGGGTCCAGGAAGGGCGGTGTGGGGAAGAAGGGGTCCCAAAGCCTTTAATTTTGTTTTTTTGGTCTATAGGGCTCTGTAACTTCGGTTTAGGGTTTAGGGTTTAGGGGGAAAAGGTATGTTCTTAAAGGCCACGGTACGCCCTTGGGTCACGGTTTCCGTGTCCCGGCCTACTCTCCCTGTTTGTGCCGTCTGTGCTGTGGGACTTGGGACGGGAGACTTCCCTGCCTCATTCGCCCGGCCCGCTCTGCTGACCGGCCTGCATCCATCCATCCATCCATCCTAAAGCCTGAGCCCGGAAAAAACGCGTACACTTCACAATCTCGAAAAGCCTTCTTCCCTGCTGGGACCCCATGTTTCTGGAGAAGCCTGAACCGAAACGGATCCTTCTTTCAAGGATCCTGTGGGGTCTTTACCAGACACAGCGTGACGTGGGAGCTCCGGTTGTGAGGACCTGAACCTGGGAGGTTGAAGCATAATTCGACAAGACTTTCTGATTGAGGATTTGACATAGCAGTATAGGGTTTAGGGTTTAGGGTTGTAAAGCAGGTTCGAGGTTCTTTTCTGTCCGGAAACTTGGTACCGTACTCACCCTATACACGTTCGTTTCCCGCATCACTCTCTCAATCCAACGACGGCATAGTTCAGGACCCACCGTGAAACTGTGTGAATCCCTGGAGGTGAATCCCGACCCCCGCTCGCCAACACGACGTACTGCACACGCCTTAAAGTTAAGTTGATAAGCAAAACTCACCTTAGGCAGCTCACGGCACACCCTGAACCTTTCGTGCGATAGTAATCCTGCTGAGACGCAGTCTGTGTCCTCCTAGTGCTTCTTAGTTGCTTCTTTGCTGCTGCGAGAGCAGCTGGCGGCACCCGAGCACACTACTATATACCTTTGTTTCTGCTACTTCCACATGCGTTGTAGCGCAGTTCGTTCTTTGTTCGTGCTACTTCCACAGGCGTTGTAGCCCCAATGCGTGAACTCAATTGGGTTCTCTTTTTGATGCTTGTAAACCAGACCAAATACCTAATGCCCCTTTGCGCTGACGCATATTATAGAGTTACAAGTATGATAACCCAAATGAGGATGCCCTTTAGAGTACTTAAAACTATAACTCTGTAGAACAACTGCTTACTAAGTACTCCGGCCCCCCAAGTGCATGTACCTGGAACCTTCGGCCACATAAGCGGAACCTCCTATACTTGGAGGTGCATGGGTAGTTACAACTGGGGTCATAAGTCCCCTGAATATGGGTTATAAGTATAGTTACCCTACTTATAACCCTACTTATAACTACCCATGAACCTCCAAGTGGGCCCTAAACCCTATACCCTCATAGAAATTTCATAGATCCCTTTAAAGGGACCCTTAAAGGAACCCTTTTTTCTACCCATGAACCTCCAAGTACGACAGGCGGATCCCCACTCCAAAGCGCGCGTGACATCCATTGGGCACTGGCAGCTCCAGAGCAGCATCCCTAAGCGTCCATGTACCCATACAGGGTTCCTTTAAGGGTTCCTATAAGGGTCTAGGGTTTAGGGTTTAAGGGTCCATGTGCCCATATAGAGATACATGTGCCCCATAGTAGGGACTACATTAAGGCCAATGTATATAGGAGTACATGGACCCTTAGGGCATGCTCATGCAGGGAATTCGTGAGTACCTCTTTGTGCGCTCCACGATACGTGGGTAACAAATAACGGGCCATTCAAACGCGAGACTGAAGCCTGCACCCTCAACCCTACTCGGAACCTAAGAAACCTACCTTTTTAGGGTTCCTTAATCTGACTTCATGAGATAAGTCCTCAAAATGGTAGGTTATTTGGGGTTTAGGTAAACCCTAAACCCTAAGCCCTTTTAATTATTCTGTTTTCTAGTTGCGGACGGTTCCGAGGATGCAGGGCGGGGTCTCTTCAAATCTCAACTACAGATTGAAATCGTAAGCCATGTTAAACCCTGAGCCCAGAACAATAGACCCAAAACCCTAAAACAGTCACCACCTTCCTGTCCCCTGCTTTGCTGCCTGGCAAAAGACGCATGCAGACTCAGGTGATTCCAAATCTGAACATGCTTCCACCCACAGATGCAACACAATGGCTGTTTGGGTCTTGCAATCCACGCTATATGCTCATCCCTAAACTGTAGCGGCACCTTGCTTGCGAGAGGGAGCCACAAAGAAACCTCACTGTAGCTCGTTCTTCGTGCTTTAGCTGGCGCTGATGTCCAGAAGCTGCTACGTTCAATCTGTTTAGAGCTCCATACTGGGTGATTGGTTAGACTTTCTCATGCACGAGTTGTTCTTGACGTTGCCGCTGCTATACATCGTCAAACTGAATCAGAATCTGGAACAGCAGCGACAGCATACTCGTACCTCCTTTTGCACCAGCATAAGGACTCATGATTTTGCAGCGGATTCCCGAGCAATGCTCGGACTCTAGCTGTGACGTTTCAACTGCTGTTTCCCAGCACCCTCGTTTCAATACAGATCTCCGCAGGTCGTGTATATGCCTGCATGCATGTATGGCATGTGTTTTATCTATGTGTGTGGTTGTCAAAATTATGGTCCCATTTCGGGTCCCTAATATAATACGGCACCTAATATCTAGGGCACCTAGAAAGGGACCCTCATTTTGTCAGCCACCCATGTATGTATGTGCGTGTGGATGCATGTGTATGCGTGGATGCATGGACGGATGGCTGGTTGGATGGATAGATGGATGCACGGATGTATGTATGCATGGATGGGTCCGTCGTTGGGAGGATGGATGGATGGATGGATGGATGGGTTGGATTCATGGATGCATGGATGGCTGGCTGGATGGATGTACGGATGTACATATGCATGTATGTACGGACGTATGTATGTCTATATATGTATATATTATGTATAAGCACGTATGTATGTACGTACTTGATGCCCCGCCGCAAACTTACGCGAGGCCTTACTGATCATAGTTCTGCCAGTCTTCAGCAGCATTCAAGCTTTGATTTTGTGATGCTCGTGCACTCCCTAATCTCACCCCAAGGGTCCATGTGCCCATACACCAGATATACCAGATACGTCGGCCGTAAAGTACTTGGACAGGGACTGCTTTAAGGCCCATGTATATACTATATAATAAACCTTAAACCCTAAACCCTAAACCCTTAATATAGGTCCACGGACCCTTACGGTTAGTCAGTCCTCAACTCAAAGCTTTCCCGATGCCCCGAGGCCACAGCCCCAAACCCATCTACAGGTTTCGTGGAGACCCGAATCCCGGGAACTTGCACTCTACCTATAGTCTGTATCGTAGTTCATGTTTGGGGTACCGTACAGAATCCTAACTACATATCTGGCAAAGCCAAAAGAAGGAACTAAGGTACAGCCCCGAGCACGTTCGGTGCCGGCTTGCTTTTGGCTGAGGAAACACATTTAGTTTGTCCTTTCGCCAGCTCTTGTCATTTCAGTCGACATCCAAAGCATTCTCCTAGCTCCTTCCCTCGAAACCTCGACTCCAATATGCGCTGTTGGGTCTTTATAACAAGGATCCTACTATTTAGGGTACTATATTGGGGTGCCCTATTTTCGGAAACTCCCCTTTCGTCTTTAGATCGCGAGTTTGGCCTCCCATGAATCCCCGCGAAGATGTGCTTCGTCGAAATGATAGGCAGGACGCGCTCGAGTTCCGATCGCCACTTTTGGAGTACCCTAAACCGGGGGTTTAGGGTTTAGGGTTTAGGGTTTTGGGTTTAGGGTTTTGGGTTTAGGGTTTAGGTGCCGCATTATAACAGGGACTTAAAAGTAGGACCATAATTTTGACAACCACTCCGGGGTTTAGGGATTGGGGGGACGGGTTGGGTCGCTGGTTTCGCGGCTGTAGGGTTTTAAGGTCCGGCTTCTCAAAATTCGGTCGAGTTGTTGGGGGTTTTAGGGTGCGAGGTTTCAGGTTGGAGCATTGACCCTCAATCCTAAACCCGTGTAGACCCTACTTGGAGGTTCATGGGTAGTTATAAGTAGCGTTATAAGTAGGGCAACTATACTTATAACCCATAATAAGGAACCTTATAACCCGGGGAACTAAGGAGATAAGGTCAAGCGGCAGAGAAGCCTCTTGTTGAAGGAAAGGCTTTATTACTAAGAGACTCCGAAAACCCTCAATTCCAGAATGTATCTTGAGTAACAACACGAATCCCTCCACAAATTGAAGTACATTCCCTTTATCTAAAAAATGGCTCGAAAGACTCCGGGCACGAAACCCAGAAAGAAGAGTCAGACCTGGCGCTGATTCTGCGTAGCTCAAGGATGAGATGGGTCTACGTCGGTGTAGGGTGTGGGGGTTTTGGGTTGTAGCATTTAGGGTTTAGGGACTGCAGTCGAGAACCGACTTAATCGCCAAATTGCCGGAGTCCTTTCCTCAGCTCTGAGTATTTCTCCGTCTGTTGAATTTCTCAGCGACCTGACAGTTCGGTGACATTGAGGGGGACTTCAATAATTTCCAAAGTTTTGCGATTACAACTACGACAAGAACCCTAAGGAGGTGTATCTACTTATTCAAGCTTCTATATGAGGGGTTACCTGCACTTGGCGGTCTGATCATGGTCTTCGTTGCCCTGAACCCTAAACTCTAATCCCTGTAGCCCTTTTAAGGCCATCAGCTCACGGCACATCATAACTTTGAACAGAGATGCTTAGGTACAACGAGCCTGCGCTGAGGAGTCATACGACTCTTTTGGGTTTTTAAGCAAAGGTTCGAAATACCTTATAGTCAGATACTCTCCCAAATACCAGCTACATAACGACTATCCTAAAACCGAGTACCCGATTCTTGGGTCCTGTGGACCCTTAGGGTAACAGCCCAATATCCCCCAATATAGTAGGATTCATATAAGGAACCCTAATCAAGGCCCAAGGTTTCTTAATGATCCACCCTCCAAAGACTTATGAGCGGAGATCTGATCGCGATGGCAAACACTCACGAACGAACAGTCCAAACCCGAATCTAGAAAGAAGAAGCCTTAATGTAGGAACTTGATTAAGAAACCTTGGTCCTTTATTAGGGTCCCTTACATGAATCCTACTATTTTGGGGTTATAGGCCCAGGGTTTCTTAATCAGGTTCCTACATTGCCTAAGGAACCCGGACCCCCCGCGTGTTTTGGTGTTATCATTCGGAATCGTTATGGGTTACCACCCAATACAGAACTCTCAAGTCACGATCGGCCGACACCCCAACCCTCCCCCTTAAACTCAAGACCCTAAACCCTACCTGTAGCCGAAAAGTCCTAAAGATTTAGGCTTTAGGGTTCCTTATTATGGTTTCTGTACAGAGTTTCTTAAAAGGGAAGGTCTTTTCGGCTTTTCAAACCGAAACCTGACTCTGCCAGGCATGCAACCTTCTGGAAGCTGCACCAGCAGTTGGGCGAGGCTTTCGAGGCCTGGAGAGGGCCACGGACAGCGGACTTCCCTCCCTGGTTTCTACTATTACTACTACAAATAATATTAATAACAATAATAATAGTATAATAATAATAGTAGTAGTAGTAGTAGTACTACTACTACTACTACTACTGCTACCTCCGTGGCGGGGTCACGGCAAGGGTTTAGGGCATAGGGTTGGGTTTAAGGTGGGGGGTTTATGGTGGAAGTTTGAGGCTTTCCGTCGAAGCTCCAAGCTCAGTCAGTGATGCCTCGCACATGAACTGTCGATTCAACGGTCTAGGGTTTAGGTTTCAAGGCGCAGGGCCCAAGTACCTAAAAAAAAATTCTACCGAACACTGGGCTACATAACTGCTATCCGGAACCCAAGTACCGAATTGTTGGGTGCTTGGGACCCCTGGGGCTGGTGTCTGTGGTTCCGCTGGTGACTTCGTAGTGTTAAGCGACTCGGTTTAGGGTTTAGGGTTTAGGGTTTAGGGTTTAGGGAGATTCTGCACCCACTCCAACCAGCATGGTGTGTCCAATAAAGCAACACCTACACTCTCCATTGTAGTTCTTTTTTGGGTTACCTTACAGGATCCTAACTACACATTTGGGTTGAACCAAAGAAAGGAACTGCAATGGCGACTAAAGGCAAGATCATAACGATGAAGGAGTTTGACTGGCGTCGATGACGCAACCGCCTGCTCCGGACCCTAAATAAGTAATATATAGAGGCTTTAATAATAAATAACTACCTATACCATTTCGGGGGTTCCTTGTTAGAACAACTATAATACAGCATACCCCAAACCCCATTCTCATCATTATACGGCCCGAATATTGCTGGCGCTCTCCCATCACCACCCATTGCAAGCCCACACACCCTAAGCCCTAAACCCTAAAGCCCAAAACCCCAAAACCCTAAACCCTGAAACCCTAACACCCTAAACCTTAAGCCCTCAGCCCCAAAACCCAAACCCTAAAACCCTAAAACCTAAACCCTAAAACCCTAAAACCTAAGCCCTAAAACCTTAAAGCTCCAAAACCCCAAACCGCACCATTACCAGAGCCCTTATGGCCCTTAAGAGTGGGTAAGTTTTTACGGCATATTAGCGGGAAGTTGGGGGTCTTTGTAGTGTTTAGGGTTTAGGGTAGGGTTTGCGGTCATGGCTATCGTATAAGTATATGAAGGTACGGGAGGATCTTCTTTCAGATCGCCTCCTTAATCCCTATAAACCCTGGACCCAGTTTGCATGACTGTTGGCCCGGATCTATACCTTCATGAGAGAGGACCTCAATACGTGATTCTGTGGGTTTTGAGCAAGATCCTCCTTTGCAGATGTTCCGGGGAGTTAGGACTTAAGTGTTTTATTTATGTTTCACATTTACGTTTCTCATGTTGAAGGTCTCAAGGCGTTGTAAGATTGATGCTGGGTGAAGTCCATACCACCCAAAAGGTCCAAGTACCAACATAGTAGGTCCTTTGTCGATATCCGGGCCCCCAAAGGTATATACTATACTGTTGCTTAGACCCTTTGTGACTACCTATAGTCTCCATTGTATTTCCTCTTTTGGTTTCACCAAAATACCTCATTAGGATCCGAAAAGGTAAGCCCCAAAACAAGACTTAGGGTTTAGGGTTTAGGGTTTAGGTTTAATCAAAATACCTCATTAGGATCCGAAAAGGTAAGCCCCAAAAAGAGACTTAGGGTTTAGGGTTTAGAGTTTAGGTTTAACCAAAATACCTCATTAGGATCAGAAAAGGTAAGCCCAAAAAAGAGACTATACACTGTAGACTATGGGGTAGTGGCTCAGGCTCCTCCTACCTTGTTCTGGACACCCGAAGCCCCCAAGCCCTACTTCTTAGAGGTTCACGGGACTTAGTAACTATAGGGTTATAATTAAGGCTTAATTAAGGCAACGACGCTTATATATGTACTTATAATCCCAGTTACGCTACTTGTAACTGTACTTACTGAGTCCCATGAACCTCCAAGTAAACCCCCAAACCCCGAAGCACCTAAACCCTAAACCTTAAACCGTATTGACGTGCCCCTTTATAACAAGCTACAGCTGGCGATCCCAAATTCATGCTTTTCATCGTTGTTTTGGTACCCCCATGTATTCTGCAAGCTTTTCGGACGTTACGTTGAGGCTTCTGATACTCTGGTACCACAGTATTTCACAGATGCTTACGGTAGTTGATCTGTATCGGTCGCTGTACCAGCGTACCACAGCCCTCATGACCCGAAAAGCGTGTAATCGTCAGAGTCAGTCCACCTAGCGGACTCCTAAAACGCCCTGACAAAGCCGTAAAGGCTCTGTTGCCAAGGACCCAAGGCGCGAATCTCTCAACAAAGGAACACCGGTCCCAGACCCTCAAGCTGCAGCCCTGCAGCTAACCCAAGTAGGCCAAACTCGTCGTGTAAACCCTCAACCCTAAAGCGAAATCACCACCCAATGGTAGGTGGCCGTCAACCGCGATTGCCTGCAGACATCCGCGAAGCTCAAGGCTGTTTCTCTAGAGTTCAGGGGCTAATCAGATGTTCAGGGCAAGGGTTCTGGGTTTAGGGTTTTAGCCCCTAAACCCTGAACCCAAAGCCCAAATTTACATCTAAATTCTAAACCCGTTTTGGGGTTTAGGGTTTGAGGTTCGTTGGGGCATCGGTCTTTAGAGGCTTGGGGTTTGTACCTCTGCAGGGGGAGCTCGAGGGCTGGAAGCTGTCTGTTGAGGCCTTTTTGCTATCAGAGGTCATGGCTTAGGAAGTTTTGAGGTTTAGGGCTTGCAAGGGGGTTTAGGGGTTTAGGGTTTAGGGGTTTAGGGTGTTAGGGTTTGGTGGTTTAGGGTCTGGGGTTTAGGGGTTTAGGGTTGAGGGATTTCGGGTTTAGGGTCTAGGGCTTACAAGTTTGGGTGCTATACGCTTACACGGTTCTTGTGATTGCAGCAGACGGCTCGTGCATGACAGAAAGACTTGCTCTGCAACCGCGTGACGGGCAGCAGCCAAGTAACAACGTTTATAGCGCCAAGGGTCCCAGTGCCTCAAGGCTCGAGGATTCTAGTCGGGGTGGCAGGGTGGATTTGCAAGCGAGGGACGGAGCAGATTGCAATGCCTGAAGCATGTGCTTAACCTACAGCTCTCACCTCAGAACCTGACACTTTATTCCCCGAACCCCAAACCCCCAAACCCTGAAGCCATAGACCATAACACCCTAAATCCCGAAACCCTAAATCCTTGATCCTAATGTTAAACCGTTAATCCCTAATTCCCTAATTCCCTAAAGCCTTAAATTCCTAAGCCCGCAAAAACCCTACACCGTCTGGTGCATCCCTTAGAGTCCAATAAGAGTGCTTGAAAAGTTGATGTTCTAGACTTCACAGTTCAAGTATTCATAAAGTATATGCTTTGACCCGAAAGTAGTCCCTATGTTGGTTTGTACACTTCGAAACTGCTGTGTCAGCGGCATCCCGACCAGATTTGATGTGCACCCAGCTCCAAGAAGAATATTTCACAACGGGCGTTCCTTTTGCTGTGTGTTTTTATTTTAGGTCTGGGGCTTAGGGTTTCAGAACAGGGGCCTGACGCCCCAACCCTCCAGCAGAGAGCCAAGGCTTTAGTGTAAGGGCTTGAGGAAGAATTTGTGCCGGTACCGGCATGTGGGGAGACGGGCTTTCGTGCTGGTCGGTCATTCGCCATCTCCCACAGTAGGTGGTGGCCTATGCCTCGAGTGCAGGGCTTAGGGTTTATAGTTCTTTTAGTTAAGGGTCTAACAACTCAGGCCCTATAGACCCTGCCTCTAGACCCTAAACCTTAAGCTGCGTGGAGCGTATTGCCATCATTATAATATGATTCTTCTAAGTCTGATTAGACAGAGAATGCTGCGTATCTATCTATCTATCTGTATATATACCTATATATATATATATATATATATATATATATGTACGTATGTATGTATTTGTTTGGTCTGTCTTTTTTGGTATTTATGAGACAAATGCATCTATATCCTGCAGTAGACTATGCCCTCAGCCCTCCTCCCCTCTAAACCCGAGCTCCGAAGCCTTGAGCCAACTGAGGCCGCTACTGTCGACGTCATGCGGTCGAACTACCACAAAGATGGAACTTCGAGCTTACCCCTGGCGGAAGCGACGGACAGTTCAGGGCCTTGGGGCTGAGAGGCTTCGGATAGTTTATGAGGATTTGCTTGCTTTTGGGGCGATTTAGGGTTTAGGGTCTTGAGCATGTGACTGTGAGGCCTAGCTAACGTTTTAAGGATTGGGTGATTCATGTTTAGGGCTTTGTAGATGTTAGGGTTTATAGGTGCTCAACCTGGAACCCATACTGCGGGGTAGCACTCTGCCTTCCAGCCCTGAACGTTGCCCGGGTTTCCATTTACTGCATGTGTTTGGGAGATATTTGCTCCTGAGTTAGGATCCATTAAAGCTTTCATTGTCCTGAATTCCATACAGCTGCAAGGAACTGCTATAGGGGCCTGAATAATTGCCGATACCATGTTTGGGGCGGTTCCTGATTATAACGAAGTATAATATACCCCCAAACCCTATTCTAATTATTAAGGCCCCTATATACCCAAATCCCTTATAGAGCCCTTATAGCCCCCTTTTAAATGGAACCCTTTGAAGGAACCCCATTCTAATCATTAAGGCCCCTACAGTACGCCTGAGTCCCTTTAGGCTGCAGTAAGCTGTCCGTGCTAGAAGGTCCGTGCACGCGCTATGCCATCAGAGTCTTTCCCTAAGGGTCCATGAAATCGGGTTCCTTCAAGGGTACCAAAAGGGATCCTTTAAGGGATCTATAGCGGATCTATAAAGGGTTCATGCACCTGTACAGTATACACATGGGCTTTAAAGAAGTCCCTATATAGGTACTTGAAGGCCAGATTATCTGGTGTGTGGGTGCACGGACCCTAAGGGCTAGTCTCTGCCCTCCCTGCTCAGTAGCGGAAAGGAGTCGATGAATCGGTGTGCCTCCTTGGCATCGCGGGAGGAGTTGGCTCCATCTTTGAGCGTTCCTTGGCTCGTGTTCAGCTTTCAGCCCACTAAACCCTTGTAAACCCTAAACCCTCAGTTATAGAGTTTAAGAACCCTAAATGTGCCGCAGTCGACTTCTAGAATGTGTCTCTCTCTTTCAAGACTTCTGTTAAGTTTATCGACAGGGCCATGCTAGTCCCCATATCCGACTCTGATCCGTCTTTGAGCTCCAGAACCACAACTTGTCAGGCTCATGCACAGACCCCCGAGCCTGCAAGTTAAAGTATGGTATAGTATATACCTTGGGCCCCCAATTCTCATCTACTGAGATCTTGCTATATAGGTACTTGGACCCTTTGGGTGACTGACTGTTCAGATATAACCGCAAGGTCCAAGTGCCTAATATTGCCTGATAATCATATACGCTCCCAAATATTAACCTACATAACTACTACCCTAAATCCAAGTACCTTCATATTGGGTCCTTTGGACCCTTGGCAAGGCCTAAGCCCTGGAGCCTGCCCATGATGACGTCGCAAGATTCCGGCATCGACTTTGCAGATCTTGTCATGTGGTGTAAGCAGGTAATTGGTATTGAAGTTGCTCTGCTGATCTCTCCATACATACGTGCTAAAGCTCAAGTTTCCTAGGCATGACATGGCAGGGTAATGTTTTGAGTGTCTGCTGGTTCGTCGCCGGTCTTCTGCCAAACCCTAAACCTTAAACCCCTCACCCCAAACCCCTGAACCCCTAAACCCCAACATTCTGCCGAGGACAGAAGCATGCATAGTAATCGACTGCAGTTGCCGGAGAGTCCTCGGACTCCTCGGATGCAGATGGAGCCCAGATGCACTATAGGGTTTCAGGGACCACGCGAGAATGTGTCATAAGGGAGGGGTAGGGGGCCTTTATACCTGCAATAAGGACTTAATAAGGCCTCTTATTTAAGGAAATATAGTCTCCTAGATACCTTTCCCCTACCCCCATAAGGGCCCCTATGAATATGAAGATGCAGGGTGGGCTGTTTACACACATGGATCGAAAGCTTCCGACCTCGTTCTAAAGTGCGACTCACCCTACACCCCTAACTCCTAGGGCAGAACTCTGTGCTGAATGAACCTCTGCTGGAATTGCTAACTACTTATAAGACCAACCCCTACTTCAACCCCCAAGTGAGCCCGTGAGCTCTAAACGAGGGCTTTGGGTTTAGGATGGGGCTTTGGGTTTAGGATGGCTGAGGGTTTGAAATTTCAGTTTACTGCACGTCTTGTTGAGTTCAGGGCCACCTGTTAAACTCGGATGATGCCCAGCTTATTCCATTTTTGTAGTCCTAGGTTCCCTATAAAGTTACCCAATACCAAACAGGGAGCCCTTTATATTCCTAGGTTACTGGGCATCCTAGATTATCATCTGTAGACTGATGCACCCCGAAACCCTCTTCTAACCATTAAGGCCCCTACCTTAACCTACCAAACCCTACCTTTTTGTAAGTTCTTATTATAAAAGTCTGGGTCATGCAGTGCTTGGGAGCTTTTGGCTCCCACATCACTCCAAAATCCTACGGCCCCTAAACCCTTAGCTTTGGGGTCCATAGAAAAAAATTTAATTTTTGGTTTTGGTTATTATAACCCCTAAGAAACAGCTAAATATATATTCGCTAGGGTTCTAAGTTCAGTATGTTTAGGGTTTGCAGTAGAAGTCCAAACGCTGGAAGCCCAATAGCCTCAATCCTTAAGAGCACTGTTTAGGGGATCCCTGCACTATTTTGGCACTCACCGGTTTCCAACTTTACGGTGTTTACTGTAGGGCTTCGGGCTTAACTCTAATCCCATAGGCAGACATCACTCGCAAAGGGACGCACAGAAACAGGCAGGGATGTTTCTGTGTGTGTGTGTTTTTGTTTTTTGTGTCTGTCTGTCTGTCTGTCTGTCTGTCTGTCTGTCTGTCTGTCTGTCTGTCTGTGTATCTAACATTTTCTTGAAAGGATGGGTTACAAGGTCTTCTCCTCCTAGAGAGAACACTTGCGGCTCAATCCCCGCAACACCTGTATCTGCTTAGAAGCCTCTTGCTGGCACAGGCCCAGCCAACTAGTTCGCATGACGGACGCGAGTCCGAGAGAGATTTTAGAAGGCGGAATAGTTCCGAATACTTTCCTCAGGGCTCCTCACTAGAATTACACTTTCAAATTTATGCCCCAAACCCTGTTCTAATATTTAAGAACTATATATATATATATATATATATATATACATTAGATCAGCGGCCTCTAAGAGCTTACCCTAAACACCTGAGACCCAGAGAATGCCAGAGAACTGCAAAGAAGCCTTAGTAATCTAGAAATGCCCTGTCAGACCCTTCATGACCTCCATAAACCCTAAACCCTAAACCCAGCCCCACACTTCCATGTCCTAGCAACTTTGGGTTCCTGAGGACCATCCTGCTCCACCATCCGACATGCCACGCATTCTGAGCACTGAGTCGCAAGGCGCGGCGCTGGGGTCCAGGTTGCAACCCAGTTTGAGGTTCGGGCATTTGCGAGTTTAGGGTTTAGGGACATGTTAGGATGTGGGGATTCAGGGTTTTGAGTGACAGTGTATGGCTTTAGTGGATGACTCTGGCGTTCCTGGTCAGAGTTTAGTACGGCCAAGCAATCTTGAGCCCAGGCAGGTGATGACTTTTGTACAACCTTGTGACTGTCACGTTTTCTCATTAGGCAACCATTGAACTCGCAAGGTTGCAATTCCATTAAGTAGCAACTACTCATAAATCTGTTTACTCGACCCAAGGCGGACCCACACACAATAACACGACTACTAATCAACGTATTGTAACAGTACTATCGAAGAATAAGCAAATATCACTGTTATATGACGAATATTGATACAATATTCTAGGCTCCCACTGAGTGAGGGCTGCCACCACGACCATCCCAGACCCCCGGCCAAGACGGTAAGAACACCCCCGGGCAGATAACAGAACAGTGCATACATGAAGAAAATTGTGAAATGTAGATGTGTTCCAAGCTCTTAATCTACAGCTTGACTATCGCACTCGGCTTCTCTAGGAAACAAGTGACAATCCAAGTGGGGATGAGAAGATCAGCTAATACGTGGATCACTACACCTAAAACGCCCTAAAAACCCTAGAAGCCCCTGTTGGACATGCAAGCCTACAGCACAGCAAGCCTCCCAAACCCTAATCCGTAATTCCTACATCCTAAAGTCTTTGCAACAAGCTCTTGTTTGTCAGGCATGGAACCTTCCTCCAACGAGGTGCGGTGAAGGGTTTAAGGGCTTAGGGGTTTGGGGGTTCAGAGGGGGTACAGGGTCTTAGGAGATTGGAGCTCAGGGTTACGAGTTGAAGAATTTATGGGTTAGGGGTTTAGGACATACGGGTTTTGGGAAAGTTTAGGGGTTAAGGGGTTTAGAGTGTAGAATGTGTTGTTATCGGGGTCTTTCAGGCTATTGGCATTTAGGGTCGGTAGCCTAGGCTTTTGAGGTATTTTTGGGTACAAGATGTGTTTCGGGTTCCATTCTATGAAGTGGTGGGCTCACGATTTCCCAAGATGGTAGAAAGAGACAAGTAGTTGCAGTTGCACTTGTGTTTGTGCCAGTTCTTGGTGCTTTGAATGAGAAATCCCGGAGGCTCGCAACCCGTCACCTGACCAAGAGGTTGATGTGAACTCGTGCAGGTTCACAGCTTGCTCAAGATGGACCGTAAACGGGGTCTGAAGCATTGGTACCAAAGTTCTCTTCTGGCCTCTGTAGCAAAAGTATGCTGTAATAACCCTAAATCCCCAACCCTGAACGCCAAAAGCCCTGTTCGAACTATTAAGGTCCGTGTGTTTTTGCCTAGGGGAGTCGTTGTCCGATGTTCATCGCCCCTTAGCTCCTCAAACAATGTTCTGCTTCTAGATGGGAGTTTCCGAAAATTGGGGGGGGTACCTTATTTTGGGGTCCCTAAAATAAGGATCCTACTATGGAGGGTACTATATTAGGGTCCCCTATTTTCGGAAACTCCCAAATACAGACATTTAAGCATCCCGCTGAATTGGATGTTTGGCTGCGCAAGCAACCCAGCAGACAAGGACTGTTGTCAGTCCCCGAAGAGCTTGCATGTGCTCTTTTCCTGAGTATTGAGGCCTCTTGCGATTGACATGTCCAGGATTTGCAGTCGAAGTGCCCAGACGCCGTTGGGAAACACAAACGGTGAAAGACTGAGCGCTGCAGCTTCCTTTGACCACATGTGTGCTGGAGCGCATCGCAAAAGCCAGCTTCCCTGACTGCGAGGACATGGCAACCCGTCGTGGTTGGTTGTGCTGCTAGGACCTAGAGTAGGCCCTTATTCCCTTTTTAAGGGTTCAGGTTCCCTTATAACCCCCTTTAAACTAAAAAGGGCACCCTTTTTATTCCTAGGTTACTCTTTGGTCTGGGCTGTGTGTCGGATACGGCTTGCTTACTGCAGCCATTGTTCGGGTTTAGGGTTCATGGTTTAGGGCTGCGCTCGGGTCTTTGTCAGAGTTTGCTGAAGTTCGGAGGATGGAGAATTTGGTGTTAACTGCCTTTTCCTGTGTCTGAAGGAGGGCAAGAAGTCCCTGTTTTCTATACCCTGTCAGATTCTGTGCGAAGTTGAAATTGTGCGGGTTTTGGGTTTGCAGTTTACGGTTAAGTGTTTTGGGTCTGGGGGCTTCGGAACGTAGGGTTCAGCCGCGACTTGAAGTTTAGGGCGTGCGTGCACCAGGAGAACCTTTTTCTTGGGGCGTGCCTTCGTTTAGCTCGGTGGCAAGGCAAGCCTGTTTCACAAGTGCCCGCCACACTTTCCCGACTTCCGCTGAAGCCGTAGCCGCCTTAGCCTCTCCAAATCTTCAACATGATTAACGTTATCTTGCAGCTCCCTGGTATCCCGGTATCAACTCTTGCATCCTTAGCCGTCCAATCAATACTCATGTGGTGCAGGGTAACAAGCATGTAGTAAGCTCCTAGACAGTTTTGCTCAAGCACACGAACACCTGAAACGTAAACCCTAAACCCTACCAGACCTTACCCAGCCTCCGTGCCCAAAGCCCAATGATTGTCCGCCTGCAGGTGCTCCCAAGCTACAGGCCTTCTTTGCTTTTCGTGTTCCGCGCAGACACCAATAGGTAAATAGGAGTTCGGGTGCGCCTCAACATTATTTTTGCATCTGACTGTAGACAGATAAAAAAATGAGAGAGAGAGAGAGAGAGAGAGAGAGAGGCAGGCCGGGGAAACAAACAACGAGATCGGTAATCCAGGTACACATGCATGTACCTGTATATTCAAGCATATGTGTATAGGCTAGATAGATAGTTAGGCCGATGGATCAGCATATTGGCAGATGCTAGATCCTGAGTGTGTCAAGTGTTAGATGCAGCAGAGTCTACGTAATTAGCTTACTCGTTGACTGGGCTTTTACAACCTAGTGGCGTGGTTTAAGCCTTTAAGCTTGCTGTGCTGTGCGTTCATACATGATACTGCTGCAATATAATGTTGTCATCTGTGACGCAGCAGTCGCTCAAGCAGCCGCACCAGCATAGCCTGATCCTCAACCCTAGTTCCTGCACAGCAGTCCTGACGTGATACCCAACGTTATTTCCGCATGATTTTCAAGGCGAATGCATCATGGGTTACTACCTGAGACTGGTGTCCACTAGCGGTTGCCACAACTGAGGTTACTATGGCAGTGCATTGTTGGTACTTCTTACGTGATCTTTCTGGTCTGTCATGTGTTCATGATTTCCGTCTGCTTGCTCTGACCGCTATCGCTACGATCATTGCTGGTCAAACTTGCAATACTTGGAGGTTCATGGGTAGTTATAAGTAGGGCTATAAGTAGGGTAGCTATACTTATGACCCATATCAGGGGACTTATAACCCACTTATAACTACCCATGAACCTCCAAGTCGGGAGAGTATAAAACATGATGCTTGGGCCTCTACTCTTCAATAGTTCCCGCACAGCGACTCCGTAAAGGTCAGCTGTGGGCTGTGCTGCAATACCCTGGGGCTCCAAATAGCCCAAAGTAGGCACTATTTGTAGACTTAAGACCCCAAAGTAGGTACTATTTGTATACTTGGAGCCCTAGGGATAGAGTGGGGCGAAGAACAGCATTCAAGGCACGACGGTGACTACCACTCCCAGTGCTGTTGCTACTTGCTTCAATGCCCGTATACTGCGACGATGGCTCATTCTATGTCGTTGAGACCCGTCCTCTCCCTATATCAGCAATACCTCTGCCGGCAAAGCAATGAAACGTTCCGTTTGCTTCTTCTCATTTTCTGCAACGCTCATTGCAATGTCATTGCTATGGACAACACGAGGACTACTATGAGCACCGTCGTCCCTAATCTGCTCTCCTGTTTGATAGTTCTGTGTGGTTAACACAGTTGTGCTTGACAGCTTTACTGGCAGAGCCTACATGTGTGATTACTGCCTCTGCCGCAGCGTTACCAACATGATGAGAAGGATTCAGCTGGGTGTTGCTCGCACTGCAGGCCTTACTACACTATCTAGTATGAGACTTAGTGCTGGATGTGCTGGCGAGAATGCAACTGCACAGTAGCTCTTCCAGCAGAACCCAAGCCTATGACAAACACATAGTAGCTGAGTGGATTCACTTTTACACTTTTTGGGATAATACTACCTACTATGAAACTGAAAGTGTACACTTTTTGGGGGGCTTATGAACTCAGCAACTAAGAAGATGCCAGCAAAGGCCTTGTTGAAGGTTCCGGCCTTCTCCTGGCGAACCCCAACACCTCGAATTGCCTCAAAGCACCTCGAGCCTGAAACCCGAACCTCTCCACGCTCAGAACCTGAAACCCTGATCTCTATTTTTTGCGTGAAAATGTCACAACACACATTTAGACAACGCAAAACAATCCAAAAAACCCTGAAGTGGGCCCCTTGACCATGAGGCGGGATGGAAGGCGCTCGCAGTCGTTGCCCCTTGGGTTCTTTAGTAGCTGAGTGGATACACTTTACATTTTTTGGGATAATGTTACCCACTATAAAACCCAAAGTGTACACTTTGGGGGGCTTGTGAACTCAGCAACTAAGTCTCGCTAGCCTCCTTAACACGCAGAGGTTGCGGACCCCGGTCGGTGGTTTATACCCACAGGGTCCAAGTACCAGTATAGTACAGTAGCTACTTAATGGATATGTGCCCCCCCCAAGTATATACCATACTATACTACGTTATACTATGTTCTACTGTACTAGACTATACTATACCGTACTACGCCATACTAGACGATGCTATCACTTGGACCTGTTGGTTTGGGGCTCAGTGTCTCCCTGCACAAGCACACTTCATGGACAGAGAGCACTTGGGAGTTTCCGAAGATAGGGGTACCATATTCAGGGGTCCTTACAATAAGGATCCTACTATTTTTGGGGTACTATATTAGGGTTCCCTATTTTCGGAAACCCCCACTTGCAGCCTTATTGCACGTAGGGTCGCGCATAACTTGGTTCAGCACGCCTCCAAACTAGAGGATGCAAGGCACATAGGGATCAGGTTCAGCAGTAACCTCATGCCTTACAGCGCATGTTTGCAATTGTCTTGAAGCTATCTACTATGTGACCCTAAGGGTCCATGTGCCCAAATAGTATATACTTAGGCCTTAAAGCACTCCTTTTAAAGGTTCTTTGGGGCCAATGTATAATTATACTAATGATTTACTATTTGGGCACACGGACCCTCATGAGGGTGAAGTAGTATAGCCAGAGTTCAATCCGGCGAGTCCAGGGCAGCACGCGTCCTGAAGGCATCAGTCGCAGGTTTTCAGGAGAGAGAGAGAGAGAGAGAGAGAGAGAGAGAGACGGTTTAGGGTTTAGGGTTTGGGGTTTAGGGTTTAGGGTTTTAGGGTTTAGGGTTTAGGGTTTGGGGTTTAGGGTTTGGGGTTTGGGGTTTAGGGTTTTAGGGTTTTAGGGTTTGGGGTATAGGGTTTAGGGGTTTAGGGTTTAGGGTTTGGGGGTGCAAACCCCAAAGGCCATAACCCAAAGCCCCACACAAGGCGTCGCAAATCCCTGCAGATTGGTGGCTTTTTTGGGCATCCCGCCTACTAACGGTCGTGGCTCCTACATTCACATAGCCAGGCTCAAGAGAAAAGTTGTCCGAGCCCGTTAAGACTCAGTGGCAGTTTAAGCTGTTTGAGTGCAACTGCCGGTATAATTGGGGTCTTTCAGCCGGCTATCTATAGATGCCATGTCGCATTAGCCTTGAATTGCGTCAGAAGCACGAAAATTCCTTCCCTAAATCCTAAACCCTTCCCTAAACCCGAAGCCCTAAACCCTAAATTTATATAAACCCGTAACCTTCTCTAAACCCTTAACCCTAAACCCTTAACCCTATAAACCCGGAACCTTCTCTAAACCCTGCACCCTAAACCCTTGACCCTATAAATCCGGAACCTTCTCTAAACCCTGCACCCTAAACCCTTAACCCTATAAACCCGGAACCTTCTCTAAACTCTAAACCCTAAACCCTATAAACCCGGAACCTTCTCTAAACCCTGAACCCTATAAACCCGGAACGTTCTCTAAACCTTAAACCCTATAAACCCGGAACCTTCTCTAAACCCTAAACCCCAAACCCTAAACCCTATACACCCGGAACCTTCTCTAAACCCCAAACCCTAAACCCTATAAACCCGGAACGTTCTCTAAACCCTAAACCCTATAAACCCATAACCTTCTCTAAACCCTATAAACCCTAAAGCCTAAACCCTATAAACCCATAACCTTCTCTAAACCCAAAACCCTAAATCCTAAACCCTATAAACCCATAACCTTCTCTAAACCCTAAACCCTAAATCCTAAACCCTATAAACCCATAACCTTCTCTAAACCCTAAGCCCTGCACCCTAAACCCTATAAGCCCGAACCTTGTAGCCTTGAGCTCTGAGATTTTTCCCAGGGCTTCAGGCGCTTCGTCCATCAGCGACTTGGCGTTCTTTTGGCTGGCTCTTTAGACTCTAAATTTTTGGGTTTCTATATCAACTTTTTTGGGGTTCTATATGAACTATAACAAGGAGGCTGCAAGTTTAACTTTTCGGGTTTCAGAAGTCAGCAAAGGCGAGGTTTGCGACTTCGTGCCGCGACCCTGCTGGCTACTGGCATGCATGGTTTCCAGTACAGGGTGTCGAGTTTGGGGTTTCGAGTTTAGGGTTTGGGATTTCGAGTTTAGGGTCTACAAGATTTCGAGTTCAGAGTTTCGAGTTTCGGGTTTGGGGTTTCGAGTTTAGGGTTTCGGGTTTGCTGGCTACTGGACTCGTCGAGCCTGAAGTCATGGGTTTAGGGCCTAGGGCTTTGGGCCGGGTTTAGGGCCTAAGTTTGGGGTTTAGGGCCAAGGTATAGGGCATGCATGGGTTTTCCAGTTCCGGGTTTCGGGTTTGGGGTTTAGGATTTCGAGTTTAGGGTTTAGGATTTCGAATTCAGGGTTTAGGATTTCGAGTTCAGGGTTTAGGATTTCGAGTTCAGGGTTTAGGATTTCGAGTTCAGGGTTTGGGATTTCGAGTTTAGGGTTTCGAGTTTAGGGTTTGGGATTAGGATTTCGAGCTTGGGGTTTCGGCCATGACAGCAAAAGCGAATAGTCATAGCTGGCCTTGCGGTAATGTGGCTTGTGCTGCAAGTGGTACGAATCGTCGTGGATATTTTTTGTCGCTGCCACTAAACGAGGCAACATGAAATGAACAATATCATGATCCTTCTTGGGATGTGCGCTGGATCTGGCTTGAGCTCACACTCAGGGTCGTGGCCTTGTGCCTTTTCGAAGCTGCTGTAGGGTTCAGGGTAAGGGTTCAGGATTTGGTACCGAAGCTGTATTGGCAGCTGCCCAGAACAGAAGGGCAGATCATTTATCTGTACTGACTGCGTATTGCAGGAATCGGGGGTCATTTGACCGGTTTATCTTTTTAGTGGTGTCGCCAGCATACGCAAAACATGTTTTCCCAAGTTCATGATGTGCGTGTATTCATGCTCCTCCATGTCAGAATGTGTCAGTACATCAGTTGATGCGACCAGGATTTCAGATTTCAGAATGTACATGGTCAGGTTGGATGTGCCTTAGAGTTTGTAGACTTCGACTTATGTTCCGTTGTTGAGGGCGATTTGTCACACGAGGCAGAAATCAAAAACATTGACTCGTCGGAGAAGCTGCTTGTCTTGCAAGAGTCCGATTAAGACTTCAGATGTGGTGCTTTTGAGGTCTTTGACGAGTGTTGCAGCATTGTAGATTGTCGGGAGCGTTGGCTTCGCTTGCATCTTTGCACCTCCTGACCCTAAAAAAAACCGTCCCTCCTGAGGGTCAGCCCTCTTGCTGTCGGGCCTGCTCCCCTCTAGCAGTGGTTAATCTGTTGTAATATAGTGGGTCGGAACAGATACGTAGTAATGGTAACTCCCATTATTATAATGCCGAATGTAGTTGTAGTATATTGGATCCCAAACCCAATTCTGATTGAAGTGACTACGAGCGGGTAAGGCTTTGGCCGCCAAGCCTTTGAGATCTTTTGAGGGAAGTTGAAGACGTGGTGGCAACCCTAACCGAAAGGCTCAAAACGGCCCAAAACCCCTAAAAAAGTATGGTCTTTTTGCCCAAAAGCCTTTAAATGTGGGTCCTTAGAGCCTTGGGGTAAGATAAGTGCTTGCTAGGTGTGATTACGATTCAGAGCGAGGCTGCATGCAAATATGGGATCTTCCGAAAATTAGGGGGTACCTTATCTCGGGGTCCTTATCACAAGGATCCTCCTATTTAGGGTGCCATATTAGGGTCCCAATTTTCGGAAACCCCCATATCTGCGAGTGGGCCTTGAATCATTGAGTCCATGGATATGCCAACCCTACACCCGAAACCCTAAACCCTGAACCCTAAGCCCTGGTAGTCGGAAAAGGGCCCGCAAAAAAGCAAAAAAGAAACCCATATGTCATGAGTGCGATGCGACCTTTGGCGTAGTGCCAGGCCACGGCCCGGTTGTAGATTTGTTCAATGCCCAAAGGCTCCATGTAGCTTTACAGTAGTTACTTAAGACTTAACGGGGTCCCTATATAGGTACCTCAAGGCCTATGTATATACTATATGGGCACATGGGGCCTTAGGAATGGTTGCAGGTTGCAGCACCTTTCACAGATTCACAACAAGGCCGTCGCTCTAAGCTCTGAACGCCTCGAAGAATTCGAGTTCAGACCGATACTCGCAGCTGAGGTGTGATAAAGGCTGCTGCGACAAGCACAACTCCCAACCTTGCTCTTGACGGCTCAAATGGAGTTGTTCCTGTCGGTTCACAAGTCTCTGCGCCTTTGCTGCAATTGAATGCCTAGCCTTCGAATTGCATGCCTCAGTTTGATGTTCCTGCGGCTGTCTAGCACAACAGCAACGAACCTAATAACAGTTAGCAGTTCAGATGCTACTGCTGCTCCTACGACTACGGCGACGGCGGCCACGATTTACTTAAACGACGACGACTACTAATTCGACTACGAGTAGTAGTAGTAGTAGTAGTAGTAGTAGTAGTAGTAGTAGTAGTAGTAGTAGTAGTAGTAGTAGTAGTAGTAGTAGTAGTAGTAGTAGTAGTAGTAGTAGTAGTAGTAGTAGTAGTAGTAGTACGACGACGACGACCACGACGACTACGACGACCACTTCTTGCACTAACACATTTCTAGACGAAAGCTCTACCTTACGTCCTTTCATATTAGTTGTGGCGGCTGCTCAGCAGCCCGGCACTTAGATAATCAGAGCCACAGAACGGGGTGCGTGACGATTCATTGTGCTTCGCTACTACTCCTCCATGCTTCTATGCACCCTTCCGAAGCCCGAAGTCTTCAACCCCCCAAACATGCAGGTACCGCCGCCAAGGCTGTCCACTGAGGGGAAGCGATGGAAGCAGGTGCGCGGCACCTAGAGAACTCTTTCCCAGGGCTTTGAGCGGCAATGAGTGAATCTGAAGTTTTTTTTTCAACCTCGAGGTTCTGCCCCTAAAACCCTACAACCCTAAACCCCTGAATCATAACAAGAACACACTACACCCGAAACCTGAACTGCCAGTGGCTCCGAGAACATATGATAGGACACAGGTATAGCAAGCACGGTGCAGAATTAACTCACTAGGCACACGTACTCAGCAACTTCGATGAGATGCTTCCGTTAGGGTGCAGAGTTTAGGGTTGAGTGTTCAGGGTTCAAGACGTTTAATTTTTCGTTCTTTCGAAAATGAGCATGCCCTGTGTTGTGGAGTACACTTCAGGCTCTAAACACTAAGGACGACAATCCTGGCTTTGAAGAAACACGAACTTCATCAATGCAACATCAGACGAGCCGTAGGCTTAGCATTGCTTTGCCATTCTTATCGGTTCAACGTCATGCTGGAACTGCACCCGCATAACCTTTACCCACGCCTGTCAGACCTGTATTACAGTTTTTGCCTGCCCTGAACTTTAAACTAAAATTCGGTTAGTAGAATCCTAAACCCTTAAACCTCAAACTCTAAACTATTCTAAACCGTAAATCCTGCACCCTAATTAAACCCTAAACTCTAAAATATTCTAAACCCTAAATCCTCCACCCCAAAACGCGAAACTGCTCACCAGGCTGACCTCATGCTCAGTCCCTGGGGCCCGCTGCGAACGATCTGGGATTTCGTCAGCCTCTTGGCGAGAAGCCTAGTAGTCGAGTAGGTAACCTTTAACCTTTTTGGTGGTACCATAAGGGATCCTTTAAGGGATCTATAAGGGTTTAGGGTATAAGGGTCCATGTACTCATATAGTATATACATTGGCTAATAGGTACTTTGGGGCTCATGTATATATCTCTATATGGGTACATGGACCCTTATGGGTTTTTCCTTTCTTTTGGGTAGTATAATCCCTATACAACCAAAAAGGTTAACCTTTAGTTCCCCATGATATCCGACAGGTCGGGAAGCGCAAAAAGTGCAAGAAACGAACCCGGAAGTTGGGCATAAAGTAGGCTGTGAGTTTATTCAGGGTTTATAGCCGAAAGGAAGAGGCTTTCGGGTTTAGGACTGGCCCGATAGAAGAGAGCAGTAAGAACAGTCTCCGGGGTTTTGCAGAAGTGGTTCTTTGTGTCTCGTCGTGGACAAACGGTCGTGTCACTTGTTGGTTTGTTTGTAAAGGTGTGCTGGCACCTGTCCTGGCGGTTGGTGTCATGTCATTTGCACTTAGGAAGTCAACAATATGTCAATAAGCAGGTTCTCGCCCACATGGTTGCTTGTTGCAAGCTCGTGTGGCTGTGTTTCTGCGTCAATCTGTACAATACTTGCAGTACGGTGCCACGTCAAGACAGGTGTGAATTTATCGGCCTGTCCCGGTGGCTTGACCCCAGGTGGGCAGAGGCTTGTACAGTCTATGGTCAATAGTGGGCTTGTGTCGACTGTATACTTCAGCAGATACTGCGCGACGTTCCAATAGGCAGATGACGAAGACGATTCGTAACTCCAAACATACGAATCAACAACGACTTTTGAGTAAGTACTATGCACCAGCCAAGAAGCAAACAATTACCGGATATGAATCTTTTAGGCAGAAGAATATGTCCTATAACGCGACAGCCAGTTTAGTAAAGGCAACAGTAAAACCAACAGCCTACAGCCTAAATCCCCTCAAGCGGCTCAAGGGCAGTAGCTACGCAGGCGGAGGTCTTGTCGTGAGGGTTAAGGGTGCCAGATCCGAAGCAGTACCACATGAAGCTAGGTAGGGCTTTGGGACATTTTACAAAAAATCTTGCTCTTATGGGGCTTGAGAGGATCTTACCTACTAATAGCTTTCAAAGGCTCTAAAAGCACCTCCTGGCAAGGTCTCATGATCTTGCTGAAGGACGTTTTGCTCGACTTTGCGTTCTTGGCAGATGCAGCCTTTCTTTCAAGCCCAAAACTGGAGCAGACGAACCGTTCATGTTTATTTCACGGTTAGGGTTTAGGGTTTAGGGCATGTCCCAAACTTATAAGGCCAAGGCTCTGTGGCATGCCAGATGAATTGGGACTTCTGTAGCCACTTGCTTGCGCTGTGCGAATGCCATAGGGAGCATTGAGCCGGCAGTATCGGGATACAAATACAGGTCTGCCTATAGTCTCCATCTTTGTATTTTTTTGATTCTGGGGCGACCTTATAGGATCCTGCACAAAAAAGAAACTACAATGGATACTAATAGGTGGATCAAGCAGAAAGAGTGGGACGCATGAGTCCCTATGCCCTTCAAAAACCCAACCGGCTTTAACTATTGTCTCCAGTGTGGTTCCTGTTTTTGGTTTAATTAAGTACATAAAGGTAAACCCAAGAAGGAACTAGAATGGGGACTATAGGCAGTCTCGGTCATGTTTCTAGCTCTGGTGCCTTCAAAAGCTGCCCCTTGACTGCTAACTTAGGGGCTCTCATGGGGGTTTCCGAAAATAGGGGACCCTAATATAGTAGCCTAAATAGTAGGATCCTGATCATAAGGACCCCAAAACACGGTACCCCTAATTTTCGGAATCCCACTTGAGCTGGACCAGCTAAGCCTTCCATCCTCAGGCATAGCAAGTTATGCTGTCTACTGGCGATGGCTGTAGTGGCTGTAGATTGGGGATGAGCTTCCCGAGAGGATGTCGTGTCCCTGCCCCTTCTCTTACTGGGCGTGGACATGGACTCGCTCTTCTCGACGTGGCAGGCATTCAACAACCCTAAACCCTAAACAGGACTTCTACAAACTGGCGAGTGCAGGTTGGCCTTGTAGTCTTGACTCTGTACCACCCCCTCCTAAGGGCAGGAGTTGGAGCAGTCTTCGTCCTTACCAAGAAAACTTGTCAGTAGATAAGTGGTAATGGTAATATTCGCTGGGTTCTGAATATATACACAAAGTCTAATATCTCGTACCACCCTATTTAATTTATTCAGGCCCCTCTACTAGTTTCATGCGCGTAGCCACAACCCTAAACCCCCATGCCCTGAACAAAAGACTCCTACAAAAGCCGTAAATCAAACCCCAAACCCTAACCGAACCCACGTAAGCACTCTAAACTCTAAACTAGCCATGTCTCTGTACTCTGCGGGCTATTCTTCAAAAGAGCAGACTCCTCAACTCCTCACAAAGTCAGTGCTTATGCCCCCGACGGCTTAGATACATTATCGAAGGTCGGTAGGTTGGTAGCTAGCTAAGTACACGCTTTCATCGATGGATGACTGGGTAGGCGGGACACCACGGAAGCATCGAAGTTTTGATAACAACATGACATCAGACTACTAAATTAGGCCATAGAGCAGACGTATCTGCTTTCACAGGCGATGTCGTCACTTTCGTTGGTTTTCTGGTGTCTGGACATCGTCTTGTCATTCTTCACCGGCTACTACTCCAAGGCCTGGGTGTCTTTCTCTAAGAGTAAATCGCCCTAGCCTTAGAAGCCCAATGCTCAGATTGAGTATTCCCGACACAAGCGCTTACTTTATACGAAGGCTCAGGAGGGGCGTTTAGACGGTCCTAGAGCGCTTGGAGGTTCATGGGTAGTTATAAGTGGGGTTCTAAGTCCACTAACATGGGTTATAAGTATATAGTTACCCTACCCTACTTAGAACCGTACTCATAACTACCCCTGAACCCTTAACCCAGTAACCCTAAACCCTATCCTACTTAGAACCGTACTCATAGCCACGCATGAACCTCCAAGCACTTCTAGCCTTCAAGAACGAGCCCTAAGGCTCCATGTGCCCATATAGTAGGTACTTAGGCCTTAAAGAGGTCCCTATATAGGCACTTTAAGGCCTAAGTACCTACTATATACCCTAAACTCTAAACCCTACTATATAGGCACATGGAGCCTTTGGGGAGAGCCCAGGCCCTCCAGCCCGCGAGCCCGACCCCGAAGCCACCATCCTGCACCCTACACCCTACTGTAGCCCTAACCCTGGGCATCAAAATAACCCATCAGCCTTATATTATAGTATGGTCTTTGGGCCCAAGCCTTAATATATGAGTCCTTAGATGCCTAGGGTAAGGCTCTAAGGACTCACATGTTAAGGCTTTTGGGCCAAAAGCCCACATGTTTAGGGTTTTTGGGCCGATTTGAGCCTTAGGGTAGAACTTGAGCTATACACCACCAATGACTGATGCAACATCAGACCTGGAAACAAAAGACAACGTAGTATATATACTATTTACAAAGGACCCCCAAAGCCCTATGCTAATTATTACGGCCCCTAATATAGAACCCTGCTATAGATCCCCTATGGACCTCTTTAAAGGACCCCTATCAAAACCCTATTCTAATTCTGAAGGCCCCTATATTACGCTTTAAGGGTCCAGGACTCTTCGTTTCCGAGGGTTCAGGGGGTTTCAGGTTTCTTGTCATTTAGGGTTGAGGGTCTAGGGTTTACGGGTTTAGGGTTGACGGTTTAGGGTATAGTCCCAAAGGGTCCAAGGAACTGTATAGTATATACTTTGGGCCCCCGAATCCAGAAAGAACCTTTGGACCTTTCGGGAGTCACTGAAACCTATAGGCACTAAACCCTATATCCGGGTTGCCAGGGAACGCTGGTCCTTGACCAGCGCCGTGTCGTCATGTCGTACCTCCGCTCCTTGGAGCAGAAGTTCGGTCGTGAGGGCTCGTACGGTTGATGATGTACATCCTGCAATGCCAAACCAATATGGAATATACCATACTGCCCACAGTTTAGGGCCATGAAAGAAATGCAGGATTTTTATCAACAACCGTATGGATGTGCATGTGTACATAGCCCTATGCTTCCTGATTGTTATTGGGTCCTTCATTTGTCTAAGGCTCTAACTAAATGGTCCTGGGAAGCACAAGGTAATATGAACAGTGTACAAAAATATGTCGTTGCAAGCTTTATATGGCTTTGGAAGGAGGGTTGGCTTTCGCGAAAAGAGCTGGTCGCGGAGTGTTTTGACAAAGGACTCTAGTGGTCGTAGTCCTTATTATTATGCAGTTAATGGTTTCACCCGAGAAAAGCAAATATTCAATGCCCTATAATAGCAATTGGCGTCGAGACGAGGAACCTGGTTTCTAATTGATCTCCTCGTGATCCTCAACGACATCATGATGGAAGCCGACGTGTATCCAGACGGTCTGGAGCAAGAGACCGTGGCAGCTCGATTCCTCCGTTTCCTTCGATTGATTCGCACCTTGCCTTCTATGGCTCTATGCACCCTAAACCCTATAAACCCTAAACCCTAAACCCTTTGGCTCTATGGGGTCCCTAAACCCTAAACCTTTTGGCTCTATGGGGTCCACCTCAACATGGACCCTACAACCCAAACCCGAAACCGCTTAACCCTTGAACTTCAACCCACCCCAAAAGCCTGAAACCCCAAACCCCTACTTGGAGGATCATGGGACTTGGTGAGTAAGGTTATAAGTACCCTACTTGGGGTTATAAATAAAAAAGTATAGTTACCCGACTTATAAACCTAGTTACTAAGTCCCATGATCCTTTAAGTAAAGGCCCTAAACCGCAAGCGGTACCTCATGAAACGGGGGTTGGAGAGCAGCCACTCCTACAGTGTCTGGTGAAGGCTTGGATCTTCGAGGTCGTGATAAAATCACCGTGAACCTAGGTTTTACTTACGTTCGGTTAGTAGGGAACGGAAGAATGGCAGTAATAGTAGATATGATTGTACCCCATTCCTCCATTCCCTACTGACCAAAGGTAAGTTTAAGGTTTAGGAGGGTTGTTACCATTATCACTGTCATTCTGAACTGCGACAAGAACGTCAAACTTGGTGTTGGCTTTCATAGCCAATCAGCCAGCAGAGGAAGAGTAGCGGATTGGGCCTTGCTCTGCGGTTGCAGCATGAATGCTGCAGGAGCCTCTGCACTCCAACTCGTATGTCTTCACCCCTAGACCGGTCATGTTATGATGTGCAGTACTCCGTCATAGAATAATGTTGGAGCCGTAATTGGCAAGGCCCCTGTCTTGGAATGCCACTACCCAACCAACGCAGACTCCAATCCCTACCCGCAGGTAGTTTCCAGTCCGGGAGCATATAGAGTTAAACTTCGACAACCGTAAACCTAAGCCCTAAAGCCTCAAAGTCAAAAGGCCCTAAAGCCTTAACCCCATGCCCTGAGTCCTAACTCCGAAGCTTGAGAGCAAGTATGTTTCTCACGAGCTTAAAGGATGCGGACGCCATTAAAAAGGAGGAGCGTGGGTTCCTGAACCTCACAATGCTAACACCCTGAACCCCAAATGAAACTGGGGAGGACGGAGCGGAGGTGGTGGGGGGGCCGGCAGGAAGCATTAGGGCAATGCAAAGCTCTCGATTTCTAGCCGCAGTCGCATCCGAAGTGTCAAACCTTAGCATGTCAACTGATCGGGCATAAGGAAGTTGTTTGGGGTCGTCTTAAAGGCGTAGGGCTTCAGGGATTTATGGCTTCACGGCTTTACGGTTTAAGAGTGTTGGACGTTGAGGTAGTTTACGGTTCCGCTATTCGCGACAACTTGAGCTCGGGGCTTTGGGTTCAGGATTTAGACTATCCCGCCGCGACCCTCTCAGTTCTTCCTGTGGGTAAGTTGCTTCTGCTGTTCTTACGTTTTAAAGCCATGAAGAAGCTCAGCCCAAGAACAGAACCCTAAATCCTTAATAAGCCCTTAAGCCTTAAGCCCTAAAGCCTTAGTTCATTAACATGCCCTTATAAGCCTTAAAAACCCAAAATCCTTCATCCCTACGCAGTTGATCCCTAATCCTATTAAACGGACATGTCCTGGAAGTCGAGATCTTGAGTGGCTGAACTTGCAGTTGCCATAATGGGGATCTATGTACCCAAATCCCCAAACCCTAAACCCCTACTGTGAAAATCGATGGTTCCCTCTTACGGTAACTTACATTAAACTCCTCAACAATGAGCCCAGTCTCGGGACTGCAGCATTTCGGGATTTGGACTTCCCACTGTTTGGGGCTGTGGGTTTTGGATTCTTCGCTGTAGATCTCCACTTCTAGTCTCCATTGTAGCTCCTCTTTTTGGTTAACCATTTCTATGGTTAGGATCCTTTAATAGAGTTTCTGGTTAATCAAAAAAAGGAACTACAATGGAGACTATAGCTTCGCTGTAGATCTCCAGGTTTAGGCTAGCGACTAGCTTTACTTCTTCTGCTCTTCGTGCAAGATCGACAGAAGCGAGGTATTCAGCCTGACTCAAAGTGGCAAGCGTTCTCCCGGTTTCTCAAGGGAGAGAAACCCATATAGCCCAGCCACCTAAATAGTAGGATCCTTATCACAAGGACCCCAAAGTAAGGTGACCTAATTTTCGGCCACTCTCAAATACCCCAGCTTAACCCTAAACCCCTAAACCCCTAAATCCGAGGCATCCTTAGACTTGGGAAGCTGAGCCAGATCTCGCACTTCTTGCTCGACCAGTTCGACAGCCAAGTGCCTGGGACGGTTGGAAGAAGTCCGTAAGGGTCCATGTACCCGCATGCGAGATACTTTGGCCCTGAAGTCCCTATATACCTGTAACGTATATACATAGGCCTTAAAGTAGTCCCTATAAAGGTGCTTTAGGGCCAAAGTATCTAGCAGATGGGTACATGGACCCTTTAGGCATGCTCGTACCAGGTCTAGCACTCGTACAGTGCTCCTACTCCTAGTGCTGCTGAGTTTGGAACCGCTACTGCTCCTACTGCGTCTAGGATAGCGACGGGGACGGCTATTGCTTTGGTTTTGAGGTTTTAGGATGTTTAAGAGGCTTCTAATGTTTGCAAGCGGCGCTGGTTATGGTTTTTGATGTAAAGGTCGTGTATGAGTGTTTCTCGATTTTACTCTTGCCATCTGCGTGGTCGTTCCTGCTCTTGTTGAGCTCGAACAGGATTTAGCAACAAGTCGAAAACTGTTGCCGGTGTCTTGCAGATGCAGACCTTTACGCCGCTTCGCCTTGAAACAACATCCGTTGCAGCTTTTAGGCGACAAAGCTGACGGTGCCTGCGGATGTCTTAGAGACTTGGGGTCCGGCTGTGCTGGATCCTCCCAAGTATACAGGTAGTTCTCTAATTGAGCCTCCCTTTTTAGGGTCCTTTGCATAAGGGTACCATATTAATTTGGGGCACCTGAATATCGACCCTAGCCTCCAGAACTCCCCATACAATATTCCTTGGGGTTTCTTTGTTTATTGTATGCTACAGTGCACGCCACAACTGGCCCCAACTCATGTCAATGATCGGTATTGTCATGTCGGGCACTGAGGTTGGATCCTTGTACTTCAGTCTTGGAATGGCGCCTTGGATGCTCAAAGCCCCTGCTGTGTATGATGTCCCGAAGTTAAACATCTAAATGTTTACAATGTCAGGTTTGAAATACCAAATTATCTACCGAATAAGTGAGCGAGGTTCAGCAGTATCCGTCAAATCATGAAAGGTTTGCGGTATCATCCTGTCTGCCAGATTCCAAAGCTCGCTCGTGGCTCCCTCGTGCAGGGAGGGGCATGAAGCAGTCTGAATACCCAAAGGGTCCATGTACCCAAATAGGCCCAATGTACCTATATAGGGAGTACTTCAGGCCAACGTACATACTATCTGGGTACATCGACCCTTCGGGAATAGGACAGCTTCGTCACAATGGATTGCACTGCTTTCACACGCAGACTTACGGGCATCTTCAGCACACGCACTCACTTCGAGCGACGGCTTCGCTTTGTTGCGGAGCTTTCATGCCTTAAAATCTTTAGGGTTTCGTACAAGGCTCTAAGGGTTTAGGGGTTCTCTGGCCTCGTCTTCGTAGAAACGCTTTTGCATAGGTACACCAAAAACAAAGAGCAGGCAGAGCAGCCCGCATCTGCAATCCAGTAAACCACCAAGGTTTGAACAATCCGCATGCTCAAGCCCAGAAATTGCCATGCAGTTCTGATGCAGTCTGCGTGTCTCGATATAGAGATGTGTATACATACAAGCGCATACATACTACATGGTGCGCGCCCCATAGGCGCCATGCTCCTGCTACATACAAACCTAATCCTACTACATACATACCTACATGCCTGCAAACATCTAGGCAGACACAAACCACATCATGGTAATGAGAACTGTAAAGACACATACCTATGTATGTATACTCATATGTACATACACTTTATGTCTTTATTATGTGTGCATATAATGTATGTATTTTATGTAATGTGTGTAATCAATGTAATGTATGTAATGCAGGTAGTGTATGTAATGTATGTGATGCATGCAGTGCATGTAACGTATGGCATGTTTGTAATGTATGTAACGTATGTTGTGCATGTAATGTGTGTAAGGTATGTTATGTTTGTGATGCACTTACTGCATGTAATGTATATAGTGTGTGTAATGTATGTAACGTATGTGATGTATGTAATGCATGTAATGTATGTAATGTACGTAATATGCGTAATGTATGTAATGTTTGTGATGTATGTAATGCATGTATTTCGTTTGAGGTATGCAATGTGTGTATTGCATGTCATGTATGTGATGTGTGTAATTCAGGTAACGTATGTAATGTATGTAAGTAAGGGTGGTAAGGTATGGCATGGCGTGGTAAGGTAAGGTAAGGTAATGTTAGATCATGTTTTGTTTTGTAATGTATGTATGCATGCATGTAGGTAGGTATGCATGTATGTAATCATCTAGTACATATGTATGTATGCACACTAGGCCACTTTTGGATACACATACAAACCATGTACGTCTGCACAGTTTCTATAAATATGTGGGCATTCGCCATTCCTACAAGGCCTGCCGCTGGGCTTTTTGCTAAGCGCGAGACCACTCAGCCCCCTCAAGCTTGTCGGGTTCAGGTTTCAGGTGTAGCTAAACCCCAAAGGGTCCAAGTTCCAGCAGAATGTCTTCTTACATAATTTGGGCCCGCAAAGTATATATTGTACGGTCATTTGAACTCTGCAGGAACCTTCATGCCCAGGTGATGATATCCCTAAACCGTAAACCCTTGATGATATTTCGAAACCTTAAACCCTTTATGTAAGGTAGAAGCCCAAAAGTTGGAAACCCAGCAGCCTCAACCCTGAAGAGTAATGTATAGGGAATCCCAGTGCTATTTGGCCTTAATCCGGTTTCCAACTTTATGGGGTTTACTGTAGGACCCTCCATGCCCAGGTGATGATTTGCATGATGCTTGTCGAGCATGTCATCGCCTGTTTCTGGTTCGGTTTGGGCACCGCGGACGGGGGCCACGAGACCTGGCTCAGTCGCAGCTTCGCTGCAGAGCAGATCGCTTTGGGGGGCTCCTTTTAAAGGGGGGGGTTCCTGGGCTCCTTTCAAAGAGACTCCTTTTTGAGGGGGTTTTAGGGTTGGGGGGTTCAGGGATTTAGGAAGTAGGTTTTGGGGATTAGGGATAGGGGTTTAGGGTGAAAGTACCTTTCTCCTCTGTATTGAAACTGGTAGCAAGTTTCCCCAGACACCTTAAACCCTGAACCCTAAATCCTAAACCCCAAAACCATAAGTTAGCAAACTCAGGCAACAACCTCGACAAGCTGACATTTATGACGAAGCGCCTCGACGATGACTCGCCTGCTGCTCTTGTATATGTGGTTAGGGCTCAGGGTAATTGGGTTTAGGGTTTAGAGTTTATGGTTTCGGGCTCAGGGTAATTATAGGGTTGAGGCTCCAAACCCTTACCCTATGCTTCCAGGGACTTTATTATTGGGTTCTTAAGGGGTCTATATGATATAAGGTTCTTGGAAGCATACGGTTATTGAAACCCTTAGAGGTTGAAAAGGCTTTAGTCCCTGTACCCACATGCATCGCCGATGTGGCCGTTCGACATGCGGCGCTACACACTCTCCCTGTCCCACCCTGACGGCGCAGAAAAGGCTGTTGTGCGGAAGGCGTCTTCTTAGCGATGGTGGTTTGGCTGTCTGGTTCCAAACACGTACGCATAATACTAGATGCGAAGAAGTCACCGAACGATGCTACAGTAGTAGCGCCGCAGCTCTAGCACAAAGCACATCGCTGTTTATTTTGTTGGTGGTCTGACGCCTGTCACCATTGTCATCACATTACAACTGGAATGAGTCACAGGAAACTATAGTATAGCAGTTCCATCTAAGGTAGCAGCACCAATCGTAGCACGAGTCTGCCAACACTTAACAGCATATCCCTAACAGTCCAAAGGACACAATAATTGGGTACTCGGGTTTGGGATAGTAGTTATTATGTAGGTTACTATTGTTGAGAGTATATGATAGTTGGATGCTTGGACCCTAAACCCTAAACCCTAAACCCTTCTGTGTGTGTATGTATTGCACTGGGCATTCGGATCCCAAGTTACAGCGTCGTTGTACCGGTGGTAGCGCTGATATATCGCAGCTCAATGGTTCAACCCAAAGGATCCCAGTAACAGCAATACCTATAGTCTCAATTGTAGTTCCTTTTTTGGGTTAACCAGTTTTATTCTTAGGCTCCTTTCATGGAGTTTTTTTTGGTTAGGAGACTGTGTAGTAGGTATAATATATACTTTGGAGGCCCAAATATCTACTAAGAGTACTTAGTGCCTACTATCTGGCTGAGTTGGTCAAGCCTCTGCGGAGCCTTTGGGTCGCGAGGGTCGTACTCATTGGGTTAAGTTTGTTAGTTATGTCGAGTTTTTAGGGTTCAGTGTCCGTGGTAGAAGCCGTAGCGATTTTTCGGTGACTGTGGTGGTGCTCGTCTTCATGTTTGGGTGTCGGGGCTTACATGGACACTGTACCAGATCCTTCTGATGAAATTCTGCTACAGCAGAGAACCATGTTTCTTCGCGGACCACAAACATGCAAACCCGATGCATCTGCAGGTATACCTACAGTTTACGCTGGGCGTTGGCTCAGCTCGGAATCGGAAGCACGGAGATTGAGGTGGGAGCAGCACGATGGAACGCCGAGACAAAGCCAGCTAGTATCGTAGCCGGACAGTTCACCTATAATCTCCTCCATCCTACAAAAGGCATTTCCAGACACACCAAAGCCAGATCTGGCAACGGTACGATCTCCCTGCACACCAAAACCATAAACCCTAAAGTAGGGGCATCAATAATGAGAATGGGGTTTTAGATTATAGTATAATGGTCCCCGAAACCCTATTCTAATTATTAAGGCCTCTGTGTTACACCCCATAATCCCTCAACCTACTACACGTTTGAGGCCTATATGTAGGCCATGAACCATTGAAATGCCAGACCCATTAAACAGCAAAACAAACCCTAACCCCTACAAAGAAACCTAGACCGTAGGGGTTCTGGGGGCCTGTTGTGGTGTGTTTTCTTGTCGCAGGGCATTTCTTTGAGCTCTTGATTTCACCTCCAAGACTTCCAGCAATTCAAAACAAGCTATCTCGAGCCAACACCATGGCGGCATACCTTGTTCCCCCTCTACTAAGCTACGAAAGTGGCTTGGAGTGCTTTCCTAACTGCGTCAGCTTAAACTAACAAGTTCCTCAACACAAACGCAGCGTACGCTGCCAGGCTGTCACGGAAGCTGAGGGATACTACTCGGTCTTCGTGGCGCGACTTGGCGGCCAGGACCTAGGATACATCAGGAAATTCACGCGTGAGATTGTTTGCCTTTCTAGACTACAGGCCTTAGGATTCTCTAGATGTGGGAACCCGTGCAAACTTATAAGTAGTGATGTCATGTGAGTTTATTGGCGCGGCGCTTACAGGTGGATACACACATGGGTAGAAGTCGAAATTAGGTCTCTGAATTAGGGTCGCTGTTTAAGTCCCCAAAACAACGCAGGAAAATGCGCACGAACAGACAGCGACGGAGTGGAATGACATGCGAGTGATTATGTAGTGACACACAAAAGCATGGGTGCAATGTGCCTAGACGAATGCTCTCAAACAGTGACGTTCCCAGTTTTAAGCGCCATAAGTACTCTGTTAAAGGGCCCTTGCGGGACCCCTGGTGCAGGCTAAGGTGGTGGGTCCCCGTGATATGTGAATGACCAATGAATGAATGGCCTGAACGACCATCGCAAGCTCCGAAAGTGCCTCCCCACCTGGCGCCTATAGTGAACCCCAGAAAGTTGGAACATAGATTTAGGAGGATTATTGCTGGGATTCCCTCTACTTTGCCTGAAGGGCAATGATGTTCCAACTTTCTGGCTTCTACTGTAGAGTGCGGACAGGACAGATCTAGTCGTCACACTAACGGTAGACCTGACTCTGCGAAACCGTGAGAAGGCACTACAACTGAGGACATGCCTAATATGGGGGCCTAAATAAGTACCAATACTATTGTAGAGGTTTCTTATTATATTTATAGTATATTGGGCCCAAAACCGTGTTCTAAGTATTAAGGCCTCTACAGTAACACTCTAACCTTGGGCTGCAGGTTTGTCTCCATCATCACATTCTCTACAGTGATCAGTTCGATGACTTCCTTGGCCACCACCTCGGGTGAACCAGACAAGGGATTGAATAGTAGCAACCTAGAAGGGGCTCTATGGGTGTCTTCACAGGGTTGATGAGGGTGACAATACGATATTGTCGATCTATGGAATCTAGGGTTGGAATCAGGAGCAACAGTAACCGTACCCCCCGGTAGCCCCGTCATAGTCATCACATCCACCCGAAGCTATCCGAAGCTCTGCTCTACTTACTAATTCTTAAGGCCCTTCTTTCATAAAGTTTGGTGTGACCCTGGCAAGCATCTGCTTCGGGGCTTCTTGTGCTCACTTGTGTTGGCAATCGCTCGTTAGGGTTTAGGGTTTAGCGCCATTGTTGCAGTTGCATCTATCGTAGCAGTGCTTTGGTGCAAGTGCTTCTGTTGCTGGCCGTCGCTTCTGTTTCTGCTGTTCGCGTTGTTTACGCTGCATGGAGACGTGGGCCCAAGTGCCTCCATGACTTCCCTATTCAATGGCATTAAAGGGGGAGCGCAGTCGACTTTCAATGTTTTAGCCTTTGAGTTGAGGCTTCCGGCAGGCCTTCAGCTAGAAAGCGATTATCTCCGGCTGCGGCTCTCTAGATTCGAGACTCGTAAACCAGAGTTTGCAGGGTTTAGGGTTTTGGTCATAAGCAGACCAATCTCCCTAGTGTAAGTACCAAGACAAGGCAAGTCAGAAGAATCCCCGCTGAAGGTAATCGAGGGTTGGGGTTGAGCATCGGTGATGAGTCTCAACATCTATCTACCCATCTATCGACCTATCTATCGATCTATCTATCTACATATTTTCATATGAATACGTGTATATATATACACATGTATATATATATATATATATAGATATATGTATAGATACAGATATGCACATACATGTACGTATGTGCCTATGTATGTATGTATGTATGCATGCATGCATACATGTGTCTATGTGTGTAAAGCATGCGTGGAAGTATGTATGCAGGCGTATATATGTATATATGTGTATATACAGGTAAAATAGACAGCCGGATCTCTTCGTTCCAAGTATTGTGCCGTGAACCGGAAACTTGGCACGGTGTGCGGTACCAAGCAACCATGCTCTCAACCCGAAACCATAGAACCTACGTATCAAGACAGTTTTCCTAAACCCTAGGCTCTAAACCCTAAACCCCTAAACCCCAAACCCTCATGAGGTCGAAGCGCTGCACAAGAGCAAGCAGGAAGAGACGCGAGAGCTTCCTGGCCGAAGGATCCGGATCTGGAGGACGAAATCTTGGGTCTGGTCATTGATTTAGGGTCTGCGTATCACAAGCCACCCTGCCCTGGGTCATAGTTTCTCCCACCCTCTTGATCCTCTTCCCCTGGCGACCCTCAACGGGAATCCTCGACATCAAGGGCAGGTGACGCAGCACCGTCGGCATGATCATCATTATCATCATCGTTGTCATCATCACCAGCAACATCATCCCCTAATCCCATCATCCTGATTTTCCCTGTAAAGAGACACGCTGCTGTGCAGGTTTGGGCTGCTAAAGCGATTCCTGCGACAGAACCGCATTCCGATGGAGCTCAGTGAGCGGGTCACCCGTTCGCTGCGCTACGCTTACCATGAGAGTCCTGCTTGAATCATATTTCTTGTAAAAGCAACACCGGGTGTTTAGAGATACCTGCATGCATAATTACATATAATTATGTATGCACAAGTACGTCTGTTTGCCTGTATGTATGTATGTATGTATGTATGTAGGCAGGTAGGTATGTATGTATGTAGTATGTATGTATGTATGTATGTAGGTATATGTACATGTCCATACATATATTAAAAATACATATACACATATATATATATATATATATATATATATACACATTAATATATATATATATATATATATATATATTCTACTATATATATATACAAATGTATTTACGTCCAAAGCGATCTGATCTAGGGAGACATCTCGAGAGGAATGTAGGGCAGGGTTGAAGGTCTTACGGTTATAGTCTCGAAGGGTCCAAGTACCATTAGAGTATGTACTTAGGTATTTGGGCCCCAAAGTATACAGGGGTTATGTGTATAGTTACCCTACTTGTAACCCTAAGTATAACTACCCATGAGCCTCCAAGTATGGCTTTAGAGTTCGGGCTTGCAGGGTAGGCCGTCGTCGGATTTATGGACAGATCGAGGAATTTTGTAGGTGCTGTAGGGTTTGGGGATACAGCCCCTCTCACCGGAATCCAAATGATATATAGGTATAGGAATTACGGTTCAGGGTCATGGTACTCGGGCCAGTCGTGGCCTTCTGATGCCCGGACGGGCTCCAGAATTGTTGCGTAATATTTCGATTTTCTGGGATAACAGCGAATTATTCATATGTTTGAGCCCTAGCCTGGAGCTAGTCTGTTGTTCAAGGTGAAGGGCTTTCTGAGTTCATCCCTACACGCTGAAGCTCCATTATCGCCAGCTTCCAAGGCCTCCTTCCCGACTCCGCTCCGGGTACACTGTCTTAAGTCTGGTTCTATAGAAAGTATCTGTGTGTTACTACTCGGCTTCATGACTATCAGGATCTACCCGATTCTTCATATCTTGAAATCCTAAACCCTAAACTTGCCGTAAACCCGGACCCCTGAGGCCCTTAACCCCAACTGAGAGCTCCCTAATCCCTAAACCTGAACGAAGCCCTGAACAGTAAAAGCCCCCGCTACCCCAAGCCGGCACTATCGGCTGAGGGCGCTGGAAGTCCTAAAGGCTTCAGCCCTCAACCGCGAGCTCCACTGTTAGGGTCCCCAAAAAGACACAAAGTGAAACCCAGAAAGCTGCAACATGGAATTAGGATGATTAGTGCTAGGATTCCCTCTACTTTGCCTTAAGGGCATCAGAGCAATGATGTTCCAACTTTCTGGCTTCTACTTCAAAGGGATTTGTATGGGATATCCCTACCCTGTGATTTGCTTCTGTGCTATTTGGGGCCGTATTAGAAGCCCACATAATTGTCAACATCACTCCTTAGAGTTACTAGTTATCACGGTACTACCTATAGTCTCCATTGCAGTTCCTTTTTGGTTAACCAAAAACTCGATTATAGGATCCTAACCATAAAACTGGTAACCAAAAAAAGAGGAACTGCAATGGAGACTCTAGGTACAGCATAGATTGTACCCCAAAACCCCTTCTAACTTCTGTTGATGGACAAAATCCTGCACTACCCATTATAAGGAATATACCATAGTTCCCGTAGTTTAGAGTCCTTAGGCTCATGCAGGATTTTGTCCATCAGCCGTTGTCAGGCCCAAGAACATGTAAGCACTTTGGCCTTGAAGCCTCCAATATCCTAGCATGAGGGACCTGCGGCCGGAGAATCGCGAAAGCCAAAAGCCTAAGTACACGGTTAAGGGTTTCCGAGTTTAGGGAGGCCAAACCCTAAACTCTAAACCCTACAAAAACCTAAAAGGAACCCTTGAAGGAGCCTTAAACCACAAGGAAGACGGCGCGCGCTCAAGAACATCCGGCCATCCTGGCTCTCCTGCCGAATCTCGGCATCTACGAAATTGCTGGGTTCTTTAAGTCGTCGGGTTTAGGGATCCTTGAACGGTTTCTTGAAAGGTTTCACGAAGGCTTCCAAGAATTCTTCTAAGGTTTCACGAACACTGTTAACACCTGTTTTGGTACCCTCTACTCCTTCATCACCTTATACCTTGAACCCAAAACCCTAGACCCTGCACTCTAAACCCTGTGACCTGAACACTAAACGCCAAAACCAAAAACCCTATAGTCCCGATATCCTAAACCCTGTGACCCGAAATCCTAACCGAAGCCCACGTGGAGGAAGCCTATGCTTGCCGATCTGGATTTTGCGCGCTACAAGAAGTTCCTGCTCACCATTCCCCTCTTCCAGCCGCGCGGCTTAGATTTTGCCTAGACCCCCAACTACCCCCTCGACTACAATAGGTTACAGTCCAAATACCCACTATTAAAAACCAAAAGCACTCTTTTAAAGGGCACTTAGGGGTGTCCTGAGCCCTGGTAGGGTTTAGGGTTTAGGATTAAGCTAAGCTCGGTCAGGGCTTGCGGTCTTGGTGATAGTTTTGGTTTTGAGTTTAAGATTTGATCTCGTTTGTGGATGAAGGGTTCAGGATCATCTTTGCCTGGGTACAAGGTTCAGGGTATGGTGGTGAGAACCCTAAACCCTAATCCCTAAACGCTTTTCGAGGTTCTGTTGGGAGGTTCGGACTTTATAGAAGGGCAGGATCTGTGGATGGGTTTGGTGTGTTTTGGCGTGAGGGCTTCGGGACCCTGGATCCAGCCGTCTTGCTGATGGCGCTTATCTTTCCAAAAGGGTCCAATCCATTCGTACAGTACATGTACTTTGGGCTTAAAGTTGTCCCAAGTATATTATGTGTAGTAGGATCCGTATTATAAGGACCCAAAAATAAGGTACCCCTTATAGATCCTTTCAAGGATCCCTTGCAGAACCCCAAAGTAAGGTGTATACTTTAGCGCCAGACTATTAACTATTTGTTCACATGGACCCTCAGGGTTCGGCGATGATCGGGTAGCCTGTAACCAACTTTGGTCACTATGAGGCCTTCAGCGTAATATCGAAGCCTGAACAGCTGCACAGCTGCCAATCTTCTTCCGTAGGGTTCCAGACGTACTACAGGGAACTCCAGAAAGTTGGAATATGGATTAATGGTAGGATCCCCCATAATTTACCTTAAAAGGGCTTAGGATAATCATATTCCAACTTTCTGGCTTCTACTTTAACTGTATTTTGCATTTCTGCGTATTCAGGCCCTTAGTTCAGCGTCGAGGGTTTACCTATAGCCTCCATTGCAGTTCCTTTTTTGGTTAACCCAAAACTCTAGTATAGGACCCTGGCCATAAAGCTGGTTAACCAAACAAAGGAACTACAATGGAGACTATAGGTAATATTAGAGTTTGTGGTTAACCAAAAAAGGAACTACAATGGAGGCTATAGGTAGAGGTTTAGGGTTTAGGGTTTGCTTTAACACAACACATCCATGTCGGAGTTCAAGTGTAAGGGCCGAACGAGGTCTTCAGTGCAATCCAAAGGCTCCATGTAGCTACCCAGAGGCCCCAAAGTAGTTCTTTTTTGGGGTTCGTATATAGAATCCTATTAGGTAATCCCAAAAAAGAACTGCTTTGGGGCTTATGGGTACTTAGTAGATTCCCTGGCCCTAAAAGTATCCATATGGGGACTACGTTAAAGCTTATGTATATACTATATTAGTACATGGGGCCTTAGGGAATGTAGGGGCCTGATGAAATCGTGATGCCATTGCCTTCAGGGCTCCGGGCTGTAAGTATGGTATTTAACCCACGAAGTCCTAGTCTAGATACTTAGGGTGCTTGGTGTTGGAACCTTGATGTTATCCGGTATAGAACCCTTCAAAGCATCCTTGCAGAAACCCTAATCTAATTATTGGTTGTGCCACTCTTTGGCGTGTGTTACAGGCCCTCGGCTGCGATCTATTTGTTGGTCAAGGCTTGTAGCTGCGTGCTTTCGAGCTGCCGAGTTTGAAGTGTCCGGACGTAGTGATAGGACCCTTGAAGCGAAAGCTAAACCCTAAACACAAAGCCCTAAACCCCTAAACCCTATAAGCCCTATCCAGCTCTTATTGTGGCCGCTACAGAATGGAAAGGCGACCTCGGGTGTCGTGTTACTAGCAGCAAGTCGCGTTTCGTTGTTTATTGTCTCTCTCTATCTCCCTCTCTCTCTCTCTTCCCCTCCTTCTTTTCTCTTTTCTCTATGCATGTCTCTCTGTCTGTCTGCATTTTCTGCGAGTCATAGGCAGCTCACTGACAACCCCATGATGAATCTTCTGGCGGGGCAGCTCCTTCGCAAAGTTGCTTGCGCTGCCGTATCGAGCCACGGCTGCAACAGCAAGAGCTCACATTTCCGGAACAAGCATGTGTGCAGAAGTTATACTTAAAGATAATATAGCGTCGACACACAAGGCTTAAGAGAATCATTATACTTATTAACTACGAGGAGAAAGAGCTTGCTCGGGAATTACATGCTGATGTGATGTAGGGTGAGTTCCGAGTGATGCTGCCTCCAGGGTTTAGGGTTTAGGGTCCCTATAGACCCTATGCGAGTGTGCTGGTTACCGGTTGTTGATGCCTAGGAGCCTGAAGGCGTTACTCTAAGAACAGATCTACTTTGCCATCCCTGGAAGATGTCTTTCGCCGGCCCATGGATTAGGCAACCGATCTACAATAAACACGGCAGAACAGATCAGGATCACGTCAGCCGCAGAGGGGGATGCAATTCTTTGTTGTGACTTGGCCTTGTTCGCAGACCGCAGGTCTTGGATTTCGAGCTTCAGGGCTTGAGGGGTGGGCTTCGGGGTTGAAGTGTTGAGGGCTCTTGTGTGCCACAGGGGCAGGGTAAACACGTACCAGTCAGCCCAGCAACGTTCAGTTGCGGACTTTATGTTTTTGTGTACTCTTTCTAAGGACGATTAAGGGTTTAGCGGCTGCGGGGGCCATGAAGTGTGCAGGCTGATAAGTTTTAGAATTTAGGGTAATCAGTCTGTATCACTCACGACTCCGAAATCCATCTAGCCTACATTCATCGAAAACGAACATGCACTTTGGATTTGTGGCTCTGGCCCCTCCGATCCTCAACCCCATGTCGTAGCTTGTTTGGCCCTAAAGTACCCATGTCGGGACTACTCTAGTGCCATGGACCCTTAGGGTAGCTTGCATCTGGGGTCACTGAGCAAGTTTCCGCAGCTGAACAGCAGCCTAGACCCTAGACCACAGCAACACTGAAGGCTGTATGCACTTCTTCGAAGCTGCAGTTTGCAGGTCCCAAACTGTACACCCTGTCAGGAGCCCCCCAAAGTGCCATTTCAAAGAGCCCCTATGACCCTGAATACCTCAGGGGTATAGTAATAGTGGAGGGTAGTTGGGGATCTACGTGTTTCGCCTTGAGGCCTGAGCCAAAGACCCGACAGTTCCAAGTCACGCCCTTAAATGTTAAGCAGCCTAAGGGTCCATGTGCTCATATGGGAGTTTCCGAAAATTAGGGGTACCTTTATGTTGGGGTCCTTATAGTAAGGCTCCTACTATTTAGGGTGCTATATTCTGGTCCCCTAGTTTCGGAAACTCCCATATAACTCGTATATACTTTGATTTACCTTGAAGTAGCCATAGCCCCGTATGGGTCCTTCAGGGTCAAGCATATACGATATCGGTACATGGACCCTTATAAAAAGGTTAAACTTCAACAGTGAACCTTCGGCAGCGCTTGCCCCAGAAGCGCTGAGCTCTCTGCACGAAACCTTACCTAAACCACCAAAAGCTGCTTTTTATTTATCATGTCCCCACCCCTATAACAAGGCGATTGTTCTGCATACCCTAAGGCTCCATGTACTGATGTAGTATATACATAGGCCTCAAAGTAGTCCCCATGTGGGTATTTTAGGGCCGAGGTATAATATACTGTGTAGCTACATGGAGCCTTTGGGATAGCCTTCAAAACCTGTGCACCTAGGACCTAGAGTAGGCCCTTGTTCCTTTTTTTTAGCGTTCGGGTCCCCTTATAACACCCTTTAAACCAAAAAGGGCACCCTCTTTATTCCTAGCTTACCCTTGGGTCTACCTTAACCCCAAGTAACCTACCTTTTTAGGGACTCATATAAAGAAATCATAATATTAGGGAACCCTAAGGAGGTAGGTTCCTTAAGTTCCAGGTAGGCACAACTTGAAGATTCCAAGTAACCCTAAGGCCCCAAAGTAGTTCCTTTTGGGGGTTCATATTTGGAATCCTATACGGTATACTCCCAACAAGGAGCGACTTTGGGGCCTATGGGTCTAGGCACAACTTGAAGATTGACAGGCGGCGCAGTCGGGGAGTCTTGCTTTATCCCCCTCGAGGGCTCCATGCAGTACTGGCAGGGCGCTCCTTGGACTAGGTTTAGGGTTTTAGCGTTTAGGGTTTCAGGGTTTAGGGTTTCAGGGTTTCGGGTTTTAGGGTTTAAGGTTTCAGGGTTTAGGGTTTCAGGGTTTCGGGTTTTAGGGTTTAAGGCTTCAGGGTTTAGGGGTTCAGGGTTTAGGTTTTAGGGTTTAGGGTTTTAGAGTTTAGGGTTTCAGGGTTTTAGCGTTTTGGGGTTTAGGGTTTTAGGGTTTTAGGGTTTAGGGATTTAGGGTTTAGGGTTTTAGGGTTTGGGGATTTAGGATTTGGGGATTTAGGGATTTAGGGATTTAAGGATTTAGGATTTAGGGTTTAGGGTCCTTGGACCGTCTTGGAATGTCTTTAGACAAAGTGTCCAAGAACTTAAATATAAAGTAGGTTCTTAGTAGATATTTTGGGCCCCCAATGTATGCTGTTACTTGGACCCTTCGGGTCAGTAGTGGTCCACTGGCCCACAAAACTAGCTTGTACTGGTTATCCAGCACGTGCACAGTACCTTTTACTAATAAGCGGCTTATGGTTTTAGTGCTGCTGGTGCCGACAATGGTGGGAAGTTCGTGTTTGCAGGGTTTGGGGGGTTCTGGGGTTTTGAGTTTAGGTCTTCGATTTCCGCTTTGAGCCGACAGCCGGCGGGGGCACGTGGTTCCGTCACTTGCTAGGAGCCCCAAAAGCTTTCGCGCGACAGCTGGGTTTGCCAAAGAATAATGGTTTGTTTCTTGGGGAGGGGCCTTGCCCGCCCGTTACAGTAAGATTTCAGATTACATAGGCGTGGAGTTCGCCAACCAATGAGCTCTTGCTCCAGCGATTGGGGTTTGTCACCTGCGATCTTAGTGTTTATAGTTTTGGGGGGCATGCCGCCCTGGATCATGCCACAATTGAACTTCTGCAGTGTACTCCTTTCAGTCTCCATGTGCCTATATAGTATCTTTCCTTGGCCTTAAAAGCAGGCTTGCAGACATCCCGGGTTGTGATTCCGCGGATGGGGTGGCAGCAAAGGGCCCTTAGGGATGCGGGCGTCGCCTCTCGCATAAAACCCCAAAGCTACAACCAAGGTGGGGTTTCACCTAAGTCATGATGTTTCTCCTTAAGGGTCCAAATACAAACATAGTAGGCTCTTAGTAGATATTTGGGCCTCCAAGTATGTGCGGGAATGTTAGTTGAACTTGCAATCTTGGGGGATTTTTGGAGTTTCATTCATGTGCTCCGGCAGTAGTTGTAAGCTGAGGGTATATGTTGGCGGGTTTAGGTTCCCTTATAACCCCCTTTAAACCAAAAAGGGCACCCTTTTCATTCCTAGGTTACTCGTAGGTCTAGTTGTCTTTCGAGGAAAGCTTTCTTCGCTTTAAGGTTTGGGTTGGAAAGCGAGGCCTGAAGCTCTCCGAGATTTGGATGCCGTGGATGTCCCAAGACCCTCCTTGTACCCTCAAACAGGGGTATATGGTCTCAAATAAGGGGCATTTAGGGTCTAATAGAGGGTAGATGGAGGGTCTAGGTCACATCCTAAACTCCCAACCGCAAAACTTTTCTAAACCTGAAGTATTTCAGAAAAGACACCGAGGATGTCTGCGAGAGCGAGGTAGCTGCCGACACCCTCGTTGCAGAGACGCCAAGCTAATTGATAGTTTTTGGTTCAGGAAATTGTATTTAGTATAGAGTCTTCATCGTTTGAATAGGGTTTTGGTGTGTGTTATCCTGTAAAAATAATCAGGAACCCTTCAGATGGTCTTGTAAAATATTTGGGTCCCTGTATGAGTCTGAGTTTCAATTCGTACTGGTGGAAAGGCAGGCAAGGCTTCTTGTGATTTGCAGCTGGACGTCCAAGCACTTCTATTCTTTGCATTTGTTCACCGGTGGTGCTTATAGACTGTGGCCGAACTGGCGGCCGACACCCTAAGTCTTAATCCTGGGTGACCACTCTGTACTTGCACTTCGTTTGCTGCACCTTCACTAGCGGTTGCAGGCTGCAAAATACACTCAAGCGTCCTCCAAAGAGGTGGTTCTTGCAGGCAAACCACACAGGCTGTATTCGTTCCGAGTCCTTGTCACGTGAGTTGATTCTCCCGTTTGGATCAGGACATGGGGTGTAGGGTTCAATCATCAGCGATATCGTTTCGATGATGGATGCCATTACTGACCGCCTGTTTCAGTTTGGCGCGCCGGGCCAGGTCATGTTTTCTGAATGCCGGTTGGTTTTGCGGTTGTTGCAGATGTTGATTGCATGTTGCGGTTCCGTACTTCGTGTCCTGCAGGTAATTTTCGGAGGTTTCAAGACCTTGATAGCGTGATCGTCAGCACGTGGCGGTCAGAAAGCAGACATGGTGGACCCTAACCCCGCAAGAGCAGCCTTCCAGGATGTGTCTGTGGACCGATTGGAACTATGTGCCCTGGCCTCTTCGCAAGTGCGTGTTTGTCTATATATGTATATATGTATGCACGTATGTTTGTATGTATGTGTTTATGTATTATGTATGTACGTACGTATGTATGTATGTATGTATGTGTGTGTATGTATTTGTTGATGTATGTCTGTATGCATGTATGTATGTTTGTGTACTGTACACGTGTATATATGTGTGTGTGTGCGCAAGCATGTAGGCATGTATGGACACATGTAGGTACGTGCATTTATGTATGTATGTCTGCGCATATATTCATGTTCGCATGTATGTACGAATGTTTGTATATGTATATATCACCCACACATACATACATTCATACATCCATACACCCTTACATTACATGCATACAAACATACTTAACTTACTTACACATGTACAGAATGCATGGTGGGGAAAGGGATAGAGCGGGTTCAGGACTTACATGCTAAATTGTAGCTTCCATGCCGTTCTTGAATTGAAATTCGGAAGCGATGCTTTTCGGGTATAGTGATGACAATACACCTGAAGCTCTCTCAGTTTCTGAACTCCGATCTTGTTTTCTGCAAAATGATCGGACTCCTGACAGCTTAGGATTTAGGGGCTTGGGCCTAAGGTTTGGGTGTACACTTAGACAATGATTCGCTGGGATCTCGAGTCGTGAACCCGAAACGCCACGAAATAATTAGGTACCGTCAACGTCAAAACGAAGTACCATGGAACCATGGACACAACATGACAAGATACTCCAGATCGTGTGGTTCTTTTCAACCCCTATATAATGTCTGTTGCCACTTACCGTCCAGGATTGTACGACCACTTCCCAAACCAAACGCTGAGCAAGTCGCTCGAACGCCAAAACGCGACCCAACCCTAAACACGCCTAAACCCCAAGCCTCAAACCCTTAAGCGTTAACTCTTGTCAACCTGAACCTTCAACGGCGTGGGATACAAGGTACTTGCAAGTGAAGGGCTCATCCAGGTTTTCTGTGCCAACCAGTAATTAACCATTTGAACCCAAAGCTTGCCGCAAACCTGCATGGTAACTTGCATCAACGTAAGCATTCAAACCTACTCTTTTTTGGGGACGTAACCTTCGAGAGTTTATTTGTCGGTACTTTGGGGGTTCCGATGTTATCTGGCTAAGCAAAGCTCCCTGACTAGCCCAGTCTGCACCCAAAGCCATCGGCCTTGTTGTTTTGCCTCGGCTCCTAGACGGCCATCCCAGGTGAAACAGAGCTACGCACTACCGCGCTTGCAAGCAATTCCGAAAGGTTCCAACATACCTAGTACTGGTCATAATTTTCCGCAAAGAAGATCGAGCACCAACCTGAAATGGCAATGACTTCTACGTCAGACCCAAATATACCTGAGAGCACTCTGCGCATCATGGACCTGTGAACCCGAAACGTAGACCGGCTAGACCCATATAGAACCCTTATGGTACCCTTAATGGAAGCCGTAAAGGAACCCTTGTAGCCCTCGAGGGAGCCCTCATAGGAACCCTCAAGGGGGTTCCAGAGACGCAGGTCGGCGACCTGATCTCAAGCAGTTTTAGTGCCCTGGCTTTCAGAACAGAAAGCGGGTAGGGGCTGGTTACGCCGGGTTGGGGTTAAGGGTTTGGGGTTAAGGGTTTAGGGTTTAAGTTTGAACCCCGAGCCCTTAACTGTAGCTCGTCATTCAGACGCTTCCGTCAGCACGGAAGCACTCAAAGGACAGCATTGAGAGGCCAGCGAAGGGGACGGGGGCGGCCACCCCGATATCCTGCCCTCCTACCAGCCTGAGAGGGAGAGAGGAGTGACAGGAAGAAACCCATACTATAGTACAGTATATGCCAGTATAAGTGTATAGCATAGTAGAGCATAGTATATTTTATGGTATAGTATACTATAGTATCGTACAGTATGGTATTGTGTATAGACTAGTACAGTATGGTATAGTATAGTATAGTGTAGTCTTGTATATCATCGTCGATTCAACTCCACAAGGCGTCCTGGGAGCCTCGTATTAGGTTGGAGAAAACTGTCGACGATGTGTCTTTGCAGCTCTTACGGGTTAAGGGTTTAAGGTTAAGGGTTTAAGGTTTAGGGTTTAAGGTTTAGGGTTTCAGGTTAAGGGTTCAGGTTTAGGGCTTCAGGTTTAGGGTTCAGGTTTAGGGCTTCAGGTTTAGGGTTTAGGGTCTTGTTCGGTTCGCGTTGTAGAGGCCCAGTGCAGCTTTGGCTCCTCCCGCTTGAAGCTGTTACTTAGCTTGAGCTGCAGTTGTTGTTATGTACCTATAACGTAGATGAGTACATTGGCCCCGAAGCACCTAGCTAGGAACTCTTTTCAGTATTCCCGAAAGCATCGCGAAGGGTTCTTCCGGGCGGAGCCCCGCAGATGATTACATAGATGACTACATAGATGACAGACATAGAATCAACTTACTTGACTCTATACCTTACTTGACTCTACACTTGATACTTGACTCTAGATGACTACATAGATGACAGACATAGAATCAACTTACTTGACTCTATACCTTACTTGACTCTACACTTGATACTTGACTCTAGATGACTATCTCTGTTCAAGCTCATAGCACTTGAAACTGACTTACTTACTTGACTCTGTGCTATCTCTATACTTACTTACTGACTTACTTACTTACGACTTCAACTTACTTTCTTACTACTTACTACTTACTGACTTACTTACTTGACTCTACTTACTTACTGACTCTACTTACTTACTTACTTATGACTGACTCTCTATGCCTCTATGACTTACTCTCTACATCTCGGTATCTAAATCTCTCTTCTAAAGCCGGGGGGTGGCACCGTCGGCGTCCATCGGGAATGCAACCCTTCACAGGGATTCGCCTCCTCGGGCGTTCAAACGCGAGGTAAAGTTACACATTTTAGGCGCCCGGCGCAACCCTTCACAGGGATTCGCCTCCTCGGGCGTTCAAAAGCAAGGTAAAGTTACACATTTTAGGCGCGCGGGTGAACCTTTCACAGGGATTCGCCTCCTCGGGCGTTCAAACGCGAGGTAAAGTTACACATGTTAGGCGCGCGGGTGAACCCTTCACAGGGATTGGAACTCTCGGGCGTTCAAACGCGAGGTAAAGTTACACATTTTAGGCGCGCGGGTGAACCCTTCACAGGGATTGGAACTCTCGGGCGTTCAAACGCGAGGTAAAGTTACACATTTTAGGCGCGTGGGTGAACCCTTCACAGGGATTGGAACTCTCGGGCGTTCAAACGCGAGGTAAAGTTACACATGTTGCGGTGCCCGCGCAACCCTTCACATGGATTCGCCTCCTCGGGCGTTCAAACGCGAGGTAAAGTTACACATTTTGCGCGCGCCGCGCAACCCTTCACAGGGTTTGGGCGCAGCTCAACTGCATTTTGCAACCCTTCACAGGGATTGGCATTTTGCAACCCTTCACAGGGATTGGCATGGTCGAGTGTTCGAACGCGAGGTAAAGTTGCATTTTTTGATGTGCATTGAGTTGAATTTTGCAACCCTTCACAGGGATTGGCGTGGTGGAGTGTTCGAACGCGAGGTAAAGTTGCAATTTTTGATGAGCATTGAGCTGAATTTTGCAACCCTTCACAGGGATTGGCGTGGTGGAGTGTTCGAACGCGAGGTAAAGTTGCAATTTTTGATGAGCATTGAGATGAATTTTGCAACCCCTCACAGGGATTGGCGTGGTCGAGTGTTCGAACGCGAGGTAAAGTTGCAATTTTTGGATGAGCATTGAGATGAATTTTGCAACCCTTCACACAGATTGGCGTTGTCGAGTGTTCGAACGCGAGGTGAAGTTACACATTTTGCGGTGCCCGCGGAACCCTTCACAGGGATTGGCTTGGTCGAGCGTTGAAACGCCAGGTAAAGTTGCACATTTTAGGTGCCCCGCGCAATCCATGAGAGGGATTTGCCTCTTCGAGTGTTCTATGTTGTAATCGGTAGGTGTGCAGTAGGTTAATTGGCAACCCTTCAGAGGGATTGGCAAATCCATATATCGATAATATATACATATATATATATATATATGTGCATGGTACATAGATGACTCCATGACTCCGTGACTCTATCTCACTACGACTCTATGACGCTATCTCACTGCAACTCTATGACTTTATGACTCATGACTCATGGACTCTATGACTCTTGACTCTGTGACTTTACGATCCTATATACAGTGACTCTATCTCACTACGACTCTATGACGCCATCTCACTGCAACTCTATGACTTTATGACTCATGACTCATGGACTCTATGATCTTGATTCTGTGACTTTACGATCCTATACACTGGATCTATCATATAACCCCACAATCTTCGCTGATGATGCTTTCGGGCCAATTGTCTTCTAGTTGACTGTGCGTAGCCACGACTCGCCGTGGTTGTTCTTGGGAGTAGCGCGCTACCCACGTGTGCTCCCCCTGAGCGTTGTTGCCGAGGGTGGGCTTGAGATGAAGCTATGAAGCAATGAAGCTGTAACGGTACGTGGACCCCTGATTAGGGTTCTGATGTATTTCACGTTCTTGGTGCACATCTTCCCGGCCCACGGGCGCCAGGTGCTGTGTAGCTGAAGTTCTTGAGCTCTTGGGTAGCCTGTGCGCCCATCAGTGCAGACTTGACGTTGAGCCCGTTACGTGCGTGAAGCCCTGAAGCATACATAGCCTCAAACCCCCAAAGGGTCCAAAGTACTGATATGGTAGAATGTAGGGTTTCTATGTTAGGAATTACTCTTAATATTGGGGGAAGTATTCCCCATAACAGTACATAGGACCCTTTGGGACCCTCAACGAAGTCATGCCGGATGAGGTAAAGTGGCGGCGATTATGGTTGCTGACGTCTGCCTGTGCATTGCGAGCCACGGTCGCTTCAGGTAAACCATTCTGACAGCTCAGGGGACTTTGCTTGCACCTATAGGCTCCATTGTGGTTCCTTTTGAGGGTTCATATTAGGAATGCTGTAAAAGATGATCTCAAAAAGGAACTACTATGGAGCCTATGGGTAGAGTTATAATAAGCTAGGTGTCTACAATACATTCTTCACAGTATGCAGCCTGCCGAAGCCCCAGTTCGACTCCCCGTGGTTCGACCCAGATCCTAAGAACCTGAACCTTTTGCCTTATAAGCATCATGTAACCCAATAAACCCTGGCACCTCAAGGTACGCCCTGCTTTGTTTTCTGTTTGGTGTAAGTTTAGCTTTTGGGTGTGTCCTGAACACTGAGGAACTAACAAGCGTTTTCCCTTTTACAGTCACCCTGTCGAACAAAATGACACCACGACGATCATGACGAGCACGACCATGAGAACCAACACAGCAGAAGACCACGGCGAAAGTTGTTCCTTTCATCTACTGATACTGCCGGGATTCATGGGCCCGACCAGCATGGTTCAGGACTACTGCGCTACCGGCTAAGTTCCAAGATTTCGAGGCCAAGGATATTACAATTCCGACCGGTGCTGCATAAATGATGGGACTTGGGCGCAAACTGTGCACTGTGTCGCGTCCTGGAAATCCTCCCGTCGCGTGTGCCTCACGCCCACCCTACCACTTCTTGACCTAGCTTGTAAGTTTGGTCCGCATACTGTGTACCACTATACCTCGCGGTCAGGGCAATGCTACTATGTGCACCCAAAGCCCCATTCTAACTAGTTACGGCGCCATATATAAAGGTGGAAGCCTCGCACAGCCGACACAGCTCACACAGCGACTCTCTCGGAGGCAAGGCTGCGGCTACTACAGGGGCCTCAATAATTACCTATACTATTTTTTTGGGGGGGGTGCCTCATTATAATTCTAGCAGAATGGGCCCCAAAACCCAATTTGTAGTTACGCATGCCCCTAGATTAGCTTATCCTGAGCCGTTATTCCTCACAACACATTAAAGTAAAAGCCAGAAAGTTGGAATATGATTATCCTAAACCCTTTATGGTAAATTTTAGCGTATCCTACCCTGAAACCATATTCCAACTTGCTGGAGTTCCCTTTAACCCGAAACTTCAGGAACGTCCCTGACGCCCAGCACGAGACTGGGATATATGCTCGGCGCTATGTCCAGGCCTTGAATGCACAGGCCCGGCACCCGGAAGTCATTAGGGTTTACTTAGGGGTACTTAGAAATATTTTTTAGTCTTTGGTTATTATAATCCCTAAGAAACAGCAAGAATTAAGATTCTTGCTAGGGTTCTAAGTTCAGTATAGTTTAGGGTTTGGGGAAGCTTTGGATTTGAAGCCCATACCCTAAGTGTCCAAAGGACCCAATGATTGGGTACTCGGTTTTAGGACAGTAGTCGGTTAGTAGGGAGAGTTTTTGATGATTAGGTACCTGGACCCTTAGGGATAGAGTCCAAATGGATGGTTTATGAAAGACGTAGAGTCTCCATTGTAGTTCCTTTTTGGTAGATCCTAAATGCAAAGCCGGTTACACAAAGATGGAGCCTCTAGGGGAGGGCATCCTTTTGCTTTCTATGATGACACGGATTTTTCCGAAACTCTTGTATTCTATGCCCGAAACCCTAAACCCTATATTCAGGCACTGGCACGAACAGGCCCCTCCAGCCGAGAATCCCGAATGCCGATCCCTATGTGCTGCATTTCGGATGGAAATTAGAGGTTGTGTAGTTGGATCTTGGCGATTGACATATGTCGCATGTCGGAACCCGTCCAACCCCGGATCAGCATCAATTGCACCATCGTTTGACGAGTATGAAACCTTAAATCCTCGACCCCTAAACCCTAAACCATAGCCCGGTGTCAGCGCATGCACTGTTTGTTACGCTGGAAGTAAAGGTGGGGCGCAAGCCTGGCTGGCTGCTAGGAAGCTTTAGTGACCTATCAAGTCCCTTGTAGCCATGTGCATTACTCTTCGAAAACCCTGAAGCTGCATGTGTGTCCAACGTTCAATGTATAGAGAGAGAGAGAGAGAGAGAGAGAGAGATACGCACCTGTACATAACACCCAGCTAGGATTCTAGCCTTACTTACTTATGCTAAGTCAAGGAGCATCCATCTTTGGAAGGGTGACAGAACGCTGGTGTTTTGGGATCGGTGTAGAAAGTACTGTGCATGTCCGGTGGTCAAACCCCACAGTTTGTGCTGATTTTACGCTCTGTTCGAGCTCAGAGTAGGCATTTGTCAATTTGTGTTCGTGATGTAGGCCCCTGCTTTCTTGCTGGAAGCATCTCTTTGTTTAGGGGCCTTCATCGTGTTTGATCATCCCAACTACAGGTGCAGTCCTTAACTCGTTCCAGGGCCCCAATGCTTACACTAGCAATATATACTTTGGGCCCAATGTACCTATATAGGGAATACTTCAAGGCCAAAGTATATACTGTTTTGGTACATGGACACTTAGGGTACTAGAATCCCAAGAGTATGATTGCTATCCTCACTTGAGGCTTCACAGCAGGATCCCCATTAGGATGCTGTTTATTGTCCTGGTACATAGGGTCCAACTAACACTATAGTCGTGTATGCTTTGGGCCCCCAAATATCTACCAAGACAAGAGTCACCATATTGGTATTTTTACTTTGTGAGGATGAGGATCCCTTGTATGGTCCTTACAAATCAGAGGTCTAAGTTACGCGTTTTGCCGGTATATACTTTATGGGTCCTTAAGAATACATATATTAGAACCCCTGTAAGGCCTAAGTATGTACTATTTCCCAGACGGTCCAAGTACTCCCCATTGTAAGACTTGAGGGCCTTCTTAGGTATCAAAAGCCAATAAGAACTACTTGGACCCTTAGGGTACTATATGGGTGCATGGAGCCTAAACCCTACCTTAACCCCACGTAACCTACCTGTTTAAGGACTTATATAAAGAAATCATATTAGGGAACCTTAAAAAGGTATAGGTTCCTTAGGGTCCAGGTAAACCCTACTTGGAGGGTCGGGGGACTTAGTGACTGGTTATTTTAGGGACTTATAAGTACCATAACCCCGATTAGGGTCCCTTTTATAAGTCTACTTACTACCTACTTGCTAAGTCCCCGGACCCTCCAAGTAAACCGGGGAATGATTCGGCCAGGAGGGCTTGTCAGACCTTTGGCAGTTCGTTGGCATGCACGAGAAGGACGAGGTGGAGACGCTTGGCCACGGGGTGTGTCGCGTCCCTAGAAACCCAAAGGCTCCAAGTAATAGTATAATCTATACTTTGGGGCCCAAATACTTACTGCACTAAGTACCTACTATACTGATACTTGGACCCTTTGGGAAAGGCGAATTTGATGATTTTGCCGACTTCGGGAGAATAGCCGGGTACCAGACTACCTTTGCCTTTGTGGAATGTGAGGTTTTAGGGTGTGCGCGCACAGGGGATCTGACGACTAATGCAGATGCTCGTACAAGACCCACTGCGCCCGAAACGAGGAAAAACATCAGTGGATCCAACAGATGGCGTTGTGCTTGGCCTTGGCGTTGGTCCGCCCGTGTTTCACCCTGATCTGACCGCAGAATTCGGGCGGATCCCCGGCTGACGGCTGGGTTGGTTTCTTCCTATGGAAGAACCTTCCAGGTGAGAAGCTTGATTAGGATGGTAGGGAGGTGTTACCCTCGATTTCCTCGATGCTGGACGAGCCAGGACGATGTACGTCAGCCAGTTTTCAATAGTTTTCATGCGACGGGCAACCAACTACCGGTCTGGCGTGGAGTATGAAGCAGTTCAGATTGCCTCAGGCCTCAGACGTTCACGGTGGAGTCACGGTGCACAAATTAGAACGACGCTGGTTCGTCGGCATGTTACTACGGCCAAGATCAGGTTTCGGAAGGCCGCGGAGCTTATCATGAATGGTTTGGGGTACAGTTGGTGCTGTGTTCACCAGCTAAGGACTCAGCATTCAGCCGGTTCCCACATGTTAAGTAATATGCTACGAAACTATACCACAAAACCGTATTCTAAGTATTTAAGGACTCACTTGTATATGTGGCATACAGCATCAGTAAAACGGAATCTTGGTGCGTCAGACAAGATTTCATTTGTGCTTCCAGGCCGCCGGGGGTAGGGAACATGTTCCAACAGCCCGGACGACCATGCAACTTCGTGGTGAATATTTTGCAGTCCTGATCCGGTTTTTGCATGTGCAGAACGTGTATATGCATAGAGCTATCAGGCCGACAAAACATCGGGATGTGTACACGCATGTATATGTATATATGTATGTATGAACATATACATATACATATACATAAACATATACACACACAACTAAATACATGTGTGTATAGGCGGTGCGGTGCATGCGCATGTTCATGTGTGCAGGCTTATGATATCACAGAAAGGCTCAATAAAAACCTAGACGCTGCCTACCCCTCCTGCAGATTGCACACTTAAGCCCGTGCTTGCCTTTTAAATGGCGTTCCAGCATCACTAGCCGTGGCATTTTCGTGCCCTCCTGCGTCTCTGATGAGCATGGCGCTGCCCTAATGTTTCGACATGTGGGCTTCCACTTGTAGGGCTGCAGGGTTTCAAGGAACACTGGTTGGATTAGACAAGTTTCTTGCTTGGTGCTGGCTTGCCAGAAGAGTCAACATGTTTCTGTCAATGAACATGACCTAGAGAACGTTTTCCTAAACTTAGAAGCGTCCAAGGTTTGGGCAGTCACCGCTATGCATTCAAACGTGTACATATACATGTATATGTATACAATGCGTGTGCATGTGTATAGTTTGGCGTGCTGTTTGATTTTTTTTGTGTCTGCACGGTTTGGTCCTTCATGAGGCTACGAGGGCTTAGGGGTGGGAGACATGAACAAAACACCGCTCGAAGGGTGCACGCAACACTGTGCCTCAAGGCCCCAAGCCTGCACCTCTGACCTAAAACCTGAGCTGGAGTCCCTGCACCCATCAATGTGCACTGGGGCTGGTAATCTGGCGGTCTTTTGTATACTGGAGTATCTAGGGTTTATGTTCCTGGTTCTGATGTTTTGCTTCTTCTCCACCAGCTGACAGTACGTAAATGGAGAAAGCTGTCCTTAATGTAGGGGCCTTAATACTTAGAATAGGGTTTTGGGGCCCACTGATATAAGAAGGAATCCCCACAGTAGTATAGGTAATTATTACAGCCCCTATAGTACGGTCTTTGTGGTTGTCTGGCACCCTAAATGGACCCATGATCCTCGCGTAAGGAGTTCTCGAAACCACGTCGAAGTAGATGAACAAGCACTGCCAACTTTCCCTTAGGCTCCCTGTGCCCACAGAGGCTTAGACTAGATACTTAGGCCTTAAGGCACCTATATAGGGACCCGGTTAAGGCCTAAGTATCTACTCTATGGGCACATGGAGCCTTAGGGTTTGGTGTCGAAAGTGTATATCGAGTACATGCTTGCCGCTGCGTGGAGTCACAGTGTAAGGTGGACGCTGCATTGTAATATTTCATCGATTGGAATAGCTGCAGAATGCAGGATACCAAGCTTCACTGGGTTATCCGGAAAAGTATTGCTTCGTCGGGTTCAGGTAGGCACCGTATAGGAACATCCGGCATGCGCAGAGACCAGGCACAGCAGTTTGTGCTGCGGGAGGATAGCTGTGTCATTGCCACACAAATGCGCGGTGGCTCCATGGAAAAGTACTTATCCAAGCATCCTTCGGTAAGAACCCCACCTACGATGCATTGAAAATCTAAGCCCTAATGTGCAATTGTCTTTAGTGTCATCTGCGTCCATAATGCGTTCTTGCGGGCTTGGAAGCCGGTGTACATTTTTGGCGGCAGCAACAGTGCGGTAGTGCCTTTTGTCGGCCCTAAATGTGTTGGTGCTTTGCTTCGGCCCGTTCTACTTTTTGGAATAGAGGATCAGGAACCTAAGCCCCTAACCCCCAAACCCTGCTAAACAACTCTAGGTACACGAACTGTACTGCTACAGTACTACTGCACTACTACTGTACTATGACTGCATTACTACCGTACTACTTCCGTACTACTACTGCACTACTACTGTACTACTACAGTATTCCTACTACTGTACTACTCCTACTACTACTACTACTACTACTACTACGACTACTACTACTACAATCACTACTCCTACTACTACTACTACTACTACTACTACTTCTACTACTACTACTACTACTACTACTACTACTACTACCACTACCACTACCACTACTACTACCACTACCACTACCACTACCACTACCACTACCACTACCACTACCACTACCACTACCACTACTACTACTACTACTACTACTACTACTACTACTACTACTACTACTACTACTACTACTACTACTACTACTACTACTACTACTTTTATATACCACAGTCGGAAACATTGATGCTCTTTAGTCTTGGTAGTTATCAGTTATCAGACTAAAAGCCATCAATGCTCAAGATTATCTGCTTCAACCTACACTCCCCGCCACAATCGACCAAGTCTGAGGCCTGGTAAAGTAGTAATTGCAGTACTACATTGCACTCGTAGTACGTAGTAGTACAGCAGTAGTGTCGCTGACCCCAAGCCACCCCCAAACCCCTCGGACCCCCCCAAAACCCTTCTAAGTTAGTCAAGCCAGCCCAATTCAAGGGGGTCAGGGGTTCACGGGCAGCAGATTAATTCAACTCCACACCGAATGGTGGGGGGGGGAGGCCGGCCACACTAAAGTACTAAAGACACTCACACGTTGAGCCCTGAACTCCTAGAGTGCTATAGTCTCAATTGTAGTACCATATTTTGGTTCATTTAACCAAGTATAGAGTTATGATCCTACAAAGTACCTAAAACAGACTAGAAGCTATTCATACCTGAAGGATCTGGAGTCCCCGGCAAGGCTGGATGACGGCTCGTACTCGAGTCCATGTTTTCGCTTCATGCAGGATCCCTCCGCTGAGCTTTTTCCAGTTGGTGAAACCGGGGTACACGCGCGTTTCGTTGTGAGCTCAGGGTTTTAGGGTTTGATGAATTCGGACTTACGCTTCAGGGTTTAGGAAGTATTTCTTTCCTAAGCCCTACAGGGTCCGGGGTTGAGGGTGTGGACGGAAAAGCTTTTATGGTCCCGGCTCCGGGCATCGCAGGCACCTTTTCCGAGCAATACAGGCATCCTTTATCGAAGCTGCTTTGAGGCCGAATCCCTCCTAAACTCCACGTATAGCCTCCATTGTAGTTTGTCTCATTGCTTTAACCAAAGGTGTAGTTGGGATCCTAGAAGGTATCAAGAAGGAACTAATTACAACCCTAAGGGTCCATGTACCCAAGTAGTATGGGTACATGGACCCTTAGGGAAACGGTACGTGTGGCGTCGCAGTGACGCAGTGGCCCGGTTTCTCAACGTAGCTCTGCCAGCTCCGCATTGATGACACTTTTCCAGAAAGAAGAGAGATCCTCCAGCACCATGGCAGCATGCATACTCTGGGGGCCCAAAAAACTATCTGCATTATTTTGGGGGTTCCTTATCACAACTCAGTATATTTGGCTCTGAAACCGTATTCTAATCATTAAGGCCCCTATGTTAGCCGCTGCAGCATGTCATGTTGCGTTCGAATTTGGGAGCCTCGCATGGAGCCTCGCATGTGGTAATGTCAGCATGACTCGGTCGAGGAATCATTACGACGACCCAATGAACCCTAAACCCCATACCCTATTAACCAGACAATAAGGTTTTAATGATTTTCGATTTGTTGATGTGGCTGCTGACGGTGCGGTGCCGTGATCCGGAGCTCGTTAAGAGGATCACTGCGCCCTTTCGCTGCTAGTCACTGTAGAGGCCTTAATAATTGGAATAGGGTTTTGGGCATGCTCTACTTTCGTTATAGTAAGGAATCCTCGAAAGAGTATCGTACCTTATTCTTCACGATCATGAGTACACGTGCCCTGGCAACTGGCAGCATTGTTGCGATTATCTATGCTTCGATGGTGACGGATAGGATGACAGGTGGCCATACCGGGATGCCCATGCCAATGGTGATGGCATACCGACTGCCAGGACGAAGACCATTGTCGATGATATAAATCCTGCATTACCCATAATAAGGTATATACCATAATTCCCATAGTCTAGTAGGGAATATACCACATCCTTCCCATAATTTAGGGTCATCAATGCAGGATTTACATCATCAACCGTAGCAAGGACGAGGAGCAGGAGCAGGACCAGGGCGGTGATGCTAAAGCTGATGGTGACGGTTTGCTGCTGATGAGGCCCAAAGGGTCCATGTAACAATGTAGCAGGCTGTTTTGTAGATATTTGGCCCGCAAAGTATATTCAATCCTAAGGGTCCATGTAGCCAAATAGCATATACTTTGGCCTTAAAGTTGTCCCTCTATAGATATTTTGGGGCCAAAGTATCTACCATTTGGGTACACGGACCCTTAGGGTAGTATATACTCTGGGGGCCCAACTATCTACAAAGCGCCTGCTATGTTGGTACATGGACCCTTTGGGATGATGAGATGATGAAGGTGATGGGTGTCGATGATGAAGAGCTCGATTGATTGCGTCGACTCT